TAATATATTATATATAAGTATTACTAAAGTATTTATTAAAGTTACGGGTATTTTGGGATCTAAATTAGTAAATATTTCTACTCTTAAATCGAGCCTTCTTAGCCTCTTATTTCTCTAATATATGTTTCTATAAATAGTATTTAGATCTTTTATATATAAAACACGATTTTAGAGTATATTTATTATAATTACAGGGCTTAAAATAATTATTATAGATTCCGAAGTTATGGCTAGGTCTATATTAATAATTTCCGGATAAATAGTAATTTAGAGAGTTTTGAGAATAGTATTATTAATTAGTAAAATAGGTTTTAGTAATAATTTATTACTTCTTCTTATAAGTAATAATAGATAATTAAAGCTTATTAATAAGCTAGCTAAGATTATTAGGAGAGTCCGAAACTATATATTAGTATATTAGTAAGCCTTAATAAGAAATAATAATCTTATTATATAGAAATTTGGTATTTTATAAGACAGGAGTAAGGCCATACTATAATTTATATAGGTTATTAATTAGTATTTAGATAAGCTTAAATATTGTTTTTTTAGGGTTCTTTATTATTATAGTTACTAAGGTAATAGTATTTTATTTATCTAAATTTTAATAATAGAAACCGGGATTTTTAAAAAAGCTATAGATATTTATATAAGCCTTTTTATATATATAACTCGAGAGCTAGTTATTATAAAAATAGTCTTATACTAGTCTTTTTAATATAGTAAGAAAAGCTCTTACTAGTATTTTTTCTAGGAGCTTTATATATTAGTAAATATTAAGGAAAATAATAAGTTTATAATTAAAACTATTATTAGTTCTATTATATTTCTATATTTTAGAATATATCTTTACTATTTCCCTAATAAGCTTTCTAGTAGAAATAGTAAGTACTAATTAATAATAATTCGGGTTTAGTAATAATACTAGTAGTAATAAAAATAGAAGTAATAAATAGCCTTAATTTAGAGAAAATAAATAAATAGCTTAATTTCTTAACTAAGATTATCTAATTCTCTTATATCTAGTTTTATCTAGAATAAAATAAACTAATATAATAGGTCCCTAAAAAAGATCTATTTTAATTAGATTATTATTAATAATATTAGCTTTATTTTATATACTTTTTATTTTTTCTTAGGTAAAATTAATAAAGAATTATATAATAATAAGATTTCTATAATTCTATTTAATATAGATACTATTATACTAAAATTAAGTTTAAAGATTTTATATAAGTATATAATTAATTAGATTATATATTATAATATTAAAATTTTTAAAATTATTCTAGAATAGATTCTATAGATTATTATTACTCTTTCTATATAAGATATACTAATATATTTTAGTAATTATATATTTCTAAAGTTTAGCCTTTATTATAATTACCGGATTAATATTATTCTCTTATTTCTTAATTAGTTTCTTTCCCTTATTAGTATTTATACTAAACCAAGTTCAGGTTTTCCCTAGTATATATATATAATTTATAATAGGTTTATAAAAAGGGTTTAGTAATAAAAGTATCTAGATACCTAGTTTAGATTCCAGATATCTCAGATATCTAGGGATATTATAGGTATTAAAGTAAATATTTTGCCCTTAAATATTTTATTTATAATAAGAAATTTAGGAAGTAAAATATTATAATTCCGGGAAAGTCTAAAGCTTAAAGAACTTAACTTAATAGTAAAATTAAAGTAGTAATTAAATAGCTTTAAGGATATATATAGGGTATATATTCCGGAGAAAGGGTTTTATAAATACGGGTATTATATAAATAAAAAAGATAATTTCTAAGAAAGTAGTCTTAGGGCTAAAAGAAATTAGTTTTAAAAAATAGTAGAAGTTAAATAAATAATTAATTAAATAACTAATTACTTATTAATTAGTAAAAGCTAGATATTTTCTCTATAGGCTATTAAATACTTTTATAAAGTTAATAAGTAATTCTTTTTTTTAATATAGAATAGACTAGATTTGTCTTAAGCTACTAAATACTTTTAGAACTAATCTAAAATTTTCTCTAATTTATATATATAAACTAATTAGTATTAGTTTACTAGTAATATATAATACTATTATATAAATATAGAAATACTAGTTATATTAGTTAGTAAAGTTATTATTATTTAGAAATAGGAATTATAGTATTATAGTATAAATATATAATTCCTAAATCTACTAAGCCTAAAAGAGTCTAGTTTACTAGTCAAGTTACTAATAAAATACGAGGTTATATAATTATATCCCGTATTTTATATCTTATTATTTATATTTTATTACTTATATTTCATATTTCATATCTCGTAATTATATATATAACTCCTAAAAAAATAGCTATACTAATAATTACTAAGACCTAAATATAGAAGCCCTATAAGCAAGAATATAATATTAGCTATATTTACTATTATAGTCCGGTTTTAAATAAGCGGTTCTATTTATAGCTCTTACTAATAGTTATATATAGTCTATAATTCTTTAATAAGTTTTATTTAATTAAGGGTATTTATTATTTCATATATTATATTACTTATATTACTTATAGCTTAATAAAAAATAATTAGAAATAATTCTAGTACTTTAATAAGGCTATTTTATTAATAACTAGCTATAATTTATAAATATTCTTTCTTATAAATATTTACTAGTAGCTAATTATAGATATATAAGTAATCTAGAACTAGTATAAGAAATATTTCTATAATAACTTGGCCTATAAGCTAGCCTATAACCCATTAATTAACTTCTTATTATTTTTAGTTAATTCTTATTATAATTATAGCCTCTTTTTACTTAATCTTAATCTTATAAATCTTTAATAAATACTTATAAATATTACCTTACCTAAGAATATCTTTAACTAGACTATAAGCTATTATATAGCTAATTTATGAGTTAATTATACCTATAAAATATTACTAGTAATTATAATATAAGTCTAGCTAAATATAAACTAATACTTTTATTTTTAGATAATTATAATAATAATTATAAATAATTTATAAACTACTTACTTTTATTTATAAGGCTCTAGTAAAACTAGTAAGATATTTCTTTATAAGACCCTTTATTACTATTACTATAACTAAGATAAGATAATCCTATATATAATATTAATAGATATTATAGCTTTTCTTTTTCCGGATAAATATATGTCTTATTCCTAGTTCCGGATCCTATTTAAGCTTAATAAATTATCTATAAATATAATTACTAAGACTAGCTAGTTCGGGGCTCTTTTATATTCTATAAACCTAATTATCTAGGATAAGATACTTATATAATACAAGTATTACTTTAAGGTAATATATTAGCTAATAATTAATTTATAATTAGTTATAGATAATATTTTCTTTAAAGAAATATCTATAATTCTTAGGAAAAACTTTATCTAAATTTTATTAGTAGTCTCATATAATTTGCGGGCTAATATAATACGGACCTATTTATAATAAATATAAATCTAGCTATAGCTCTATTAGTTATTATTATAAATTAATATATAAGTCTATAATAACCCGTTTAAATAGGATTTTATAGACTAAATTAGTAGTTTATTATATAACTTATTTTTAAATAAGTAAATTATATTCTTACTTTTTATTTTATATATCTAGTTAGTTATAAATCTAATTAATTATATCTATTTATAAAAGTAACTTTTATGAGCCCTATATAATTACTAGGCCTTTAGTAAATAAGTAATTCTATTAATCCTAAATAATATAGTCTATAAGCTTAACTAAATAATTCTAGATATATTTCCTAGCCAGAAATAAATATATTTTATAATAGATTTAGCTAATATAAATAAGGCAAATCCTAAAATTATAAAATTATTTCTAGAAATCTTATAAAATATCTATTTACTAGATCTATTTCTCTTTAGGCTATAACTTAAGATTAGTATACTTGTAATATTCTTATAAAATCTCTATTTATAAAAAGGGCTTTATAATAGATTATAAATATTAATATATAGTTTTAAGAAATTCTTAATTCAGGTATAATTACTAGATAATAACTTTAATAGCTAGTTATAAATAATTCTATAGATTAAGCTCTAGTCTATAAATTAGTAATTATCTTTTATATTCTTTTATAAATAGTTTTTATTTACTTTATTCTTTATAATAACTATTAATAAGTTATAAGGCTAGTTATTTAAGATAATAGAAATAGATTTATAATTACCGGTTTTTTTTTATAGCTAGTTCTATATAGTAGCCTTATAAATTATCTTATAAATAAGGCTTTATATTCTTTTATTTCCTAATATAAACTATATAAATAATATAATATATCTAGAAATATTATAAGATCTTATTTAGCTTTTAACTTATTTATAAGTAATTTTATATATTTATAGGCTATTTTCTTTCTTATATTATTTATAAAGAATTTATAAAGAATCCGTATCTAATTTATATATTTAGCTAAAACCCTTTACTAACTAAATTATATAACTTTAGCTAGGGCCTTTATTATATAATATATCCTCTTTAATTCCAAACCTATTCGGGATAAGTTTAGGGCAAAATTATTAATTAGTGGCCTTATATAAGCTCCGGGGCTAATTAATAATTTTAGTAAAGTAGCCCTAAACTTGTCTATATAATAGCTATATTAAACCTATAGAAAACTTTCCCTGCTATATAACTAGTTTTTGTCTATACGGGAATACTAAACCTATATAGACTTTATTTGCATTTTATTTATACTTTATTTATACTTATAATATCTAAATTAAATTAATTATACTATTCTAGATATTGCTATCCTTAATTAATCTTCTAGTTTCCTCTTAAGAATAGCTAGTAAATCGTAATATATAGTTCTTGCCTTAAGTAATAAGCCTTATACTATATAGTAATTTAGGGGCGAGAGAGGAAAGAAGAGGAAAAGAGAAAGGAAGGAAGAGAGAGAGAAGAAGAGGGGGAGTAAGCTATAGGTAAGTTAACGGACCTATTTACGGGCAAGCTAACTCTTCTAGGGCCGCAAACCCATTACTTAAGCTGCTTGCAATTCCGTAATCTCGGCCGCTTTCTTACCTATAAGCCCTGTTATTACCGGAATTTAAAGATAAAGCATTATTGAGCTCTAATAACTTGCGTTCCGAACCCTCTCCTAACTCGAGCCGAGCTTGCGAATTATATCTAGCGCCGGCAGCAAGCTACCGGGAAGATAGAGAGAGGGTTTGCCGGATACCGGGCAATTACGGTTAATAATTATACGCGAGAGCTAACCCAAGAGGAGGAGCAGGAGCTCCAGGACCGGCAGTAACGGCGTAAGGATAGGAAGGCAGAGAGGAGGGTTTAGGAGATAGAGAGGAAGGAGCGAGTGAGGAAGTTATAAGTATAAAAAGGCCAGTTCCTAGGGAAGGGGAAGTTTGAGGCGTGGTGGGAGGCGAGGGAGAAGGAGTGGCAGAGAGCAAGTGAGAGGTTAAAGGAGGGAGACAGGGAAAGGAGGAAGATAAAGAAGGATAGAGAGAAGTGGGCTGAGTGGGCAGAGAGAGAGGAGCAAGAGAAGAGAGAGAGGGAGGGGCAGGCTAAAGAAGAAGCTTGCGGACTAGTGGAGAGGCAGGCTTGCAAGCTGAGAGAGAGGCAAGCGAAGTTATATATAGACGAATACGAATATTACGATAATTATTAACTCTAATTCCAGGGCAAGTGAGGCTTGGGAGAGGCCGCGAGAGGAAGAGAGCTTTGCGGGTAAAAGTAAGGCTTGGGAGGGAGTTACGGGTGAGAGTACAGGTAGTAAGGGGCTTGCAGGGCGAGTGAGGCTTGGGGAGGCCCGCGAGAGGGAGGGAGCTTTGCGGGTATAAGTAATACTTGGGAGGGAAGGGGAAGCCCTATAAGTAAGGATATAAGCGGGAGTGAGGCTTGGAAGAGTTCGCGAGAGGAAAGGAAGAGCTTTGCAAGTAGAAGTAAGGCTTGGGAGGGCCCGCGAGTGCGGTATAGAAAGCAAAAAGCTAAATATTTAAATAAAAGCTCTTAAAAACTAATTTCTCTTATGCTTATACATTATATTAGTACGAGCTTGCGAGCGTAATGTGGCTATACTTAAGGAGAAGGTTTTATAAGTAAAAGTAAGGCTTAAAAGGGCTTATAAAAGGAAAGATAGAGCTTTGCGGGTATAATTAGGGGATATTGCAGTTCGTAAAGAGAAAGAAAGAGCTTTACGAGTAAGTATAAGGCTTAGAAGGCCTATAGGTAATAAAAGAGCTTTATTATAAGTAAGTCACGTGACCCTCTTAATCTCGAATCGAGATCAGGGCAAAATTAAAGACTGGCCCCGAAGCTTGCATAGGGCCGCCAGGCTTTAATTTTAGTAAAGCGGCCCAGATCTCGTTATAAATAGGCGGCCATCCTCACAGTAATACCAATGCCCAGTGCCACTAAAGTCATGTGCCATAACCGTATACACAGTAGCCCATCCAGTGATTTGAGCCACATTCCTTTACTACCTCCAGTTATTATTTACAAGACTAACCGTGTAAATAAGAGAAGTAATATAATTCAATCATATCGGGCATGGCTCTCCTCCGTAAAGAAAAATTATGCCTAGGGGAAAGGGTTTATACCTCAGCCAAACTCGAATGAAATGTGAGGATATATTTCTACGCATATAGTCACGTGCTAAATCTCTAGCTCCCGAAAGACAAAAGAAGAACATATTTAACTCGAATCTTAATATTTGTAGGGAGCTCAATGATATAAGGAAAAAACCTCCTAAATTCCAGGGTAAAACCCAACTTTGCATTGTGTCATGTGATAATATTAGTCCAATCAGAGCCGGAGGTGTAGTGTAGAGGGCGATATGATAACTATGTCCTTGAATACTGCTGGTCACGCGAGGAACATTGGTTGTGGCTGTGCGGCATGAGTGTCTAATTCTATTCTGAAATCTCGGCCCAAGGTGGTGGCTCAGGTCGCATGGGGCAGCTAGGCAACAAGTGCCAGCCATATCTTGATTACTGCAGGAATTTTCATGTGGAATCTTTCCTCTCCGCAAACATCCTTTCGAAGGACGGCTATTCATGAGTCAAACCATAATCCCAATTCTCAAGGTGTCTTTGATGCGACCCCTTCGAAACTGGTCAATTAGGTGCTGAATTTAAGCACGAGGCAATTGATGGGACACTGCAGAACCCCCCTGCTTGCATTGTTGCCTTCTGGAGTGTTCACAACGCAACAGGCTTCATCCAGCTCGTACCTGGAGAGAAAAGGACTTTTCAACTCGTCTAATCAGCGTTTACCTACGCCCCGTCCGAGGAACATCTCGAACCAGGCATTCTACTCATCGAGGCTGGTGTACAATCATCGAGGCTGAATGCCTCAAGCTGCTATGTAAGATTACTACCCCATGCTTATGGATGCTCATTTTCACCGCTAACAATACGGAATGATCTAGCTTACAAAGTTTTGATTCGGAATTGCATCAACAATGAGTTTTGGATTCAGTGTTGGCGATTTCCTCGCCGCTATACACACTATTAAGCGTCTTGCCGAGGAAGTACAGAGTTACAAAAATGCACCCGAACATTTTCAGCAGCTCAGTGCGCAACTCAGACTCTTCCATAATACGCTTCAATGCGTGCTTGATATCCAAACGACAGACCCCAAAGAGCTTGCAAGCCTTGATCAGATTCGGATGATTGCCATGCACTGTCGTCAGCCTTTACAAGCGTTTGTCGACAAGATGAGGCCCAAAGAGACTAGTTTGGGCCATTTTCGGAGTGCTGGGACTGCTAGTACCATTGGAAGGAGACTTCATTGGAGTATGATTGCGAAGAAAGACGTCGAGGATTTGCGGAAGGTGATTATGTCGGAGATGGTTGCCATCAATGTTCTGTTGGGCGTGCAACAGCTGTAAGTCGGGCCGGGTCTTAATAAATCATGATAAATTGAAGGGAATTAACACCTTTTTAGGGCTTACTTGAGAATCCTGTGGAAAGAGAGCTCCACATTCCAAGATGATGCCAGGGAGTATTTCCTTAACTCTAAAGCTTTTCTCACGAAGTCGGTCGAAATTCTCAATAATGTCAAGACACTACCACAAGAGATACACACTCTACAAGGGCTCACAGTCGATAATGCCTCAAAACAAGATGTATTACATGGAAAGATTTTAGATGGTGTCAGCGGAATTCTGTCGCAGAATGCGCATAATTTTGGAAATCAGGCTGCAAAAACGATGATTGCGATGGCATCTCTGGCAGCAAACATAAAAAAACTCTTCAGATTGTATGTTGAGTCCGGCGTTTATCTTCCAATCCTAACAACGAACAGACTTGCAACCTTCTCGAAAGAAATCCTTCGTGAAATTGCCGCAAACACGTAAGCAGGAGACAAATTGAAGATCACACTCACGAACCATAGACCAACCCTAATCCTTATATACAGAAAGATGCTCTTGGACATGCACGCGAATATAAAACGCATACTTCGCGCCATCGAGGCGATCCCTCTCCATCTCACTCTAGATATCGTAAGATTTGATGACGCGCTGGGTGAGAGCTGGGCATTGCCGTATCAAGCCTGTAAACAATACCGTGTAAGTTATTTTACGACTCGTACTGATTCAACCCTAGTATCCTTTCATGTTATCAGGAACTGTGTTAGCAAGTGGTACATTGTACTCACTGACAATATAGACATTCGAAGAAATGTTGCACACTGTGGTCTTCGGAAATCACCGCCCAGGATCCGCCCGGGTTGCATCACAACAATTCATAATTACATCCGCGAAAGACAATTCGGAGTTATTTCCAGGTTCCTGGAAAGATGCTATCAAACCAGGGGCACATATATTGCAGTCAATGATAGTCTCGTCAGAACAATCAACGGGAGGGCTGTGTCAGTTCCCATCGTGTAATGAGCGTTTGACCGCTTTACCTGTTTCGGAGCGAGGGTACAATTGGTATGTTTCAATCCACAAAGATGAAAACTTAGAAGTCTGGAGTGCTAATTTCATTAGTCCAAAATGTGGCCGGTGGTCTATCTTACGCAACCAGAGCAACCTTTTGCAGCTCGTAACATCCGGGGAAGCAAAATATTCTCCTGCCGGGCCAAACCAGACCAGGGGCCCGCTCCATGTCGAAGGCCCCTTACCAGCTGTACAAACTTTTGATGACGATATCAATTGTTTTCGAAGGATCCATACGATCAATAGCATCAATCCCGTCAAGAATCTTGGAGAAGCCTATGCGCTTCTCAAAGAAGATCCAGAGAACGCAATAGCCCTTCAATTCATTGCTTGGTTCGATTACCCTCATAGGAACAACATCCAAGAGGAGCCGCGCAAGGTTCAGATTTTAGAATCTATTATTGACTTACTCAAAAGATCCATAATTTCCGGTATGTTGGTTGACCTTTCATTAGTGGTTTCTTGCGCACAGTGGAATAATGAAAGAATATTTATAGCTCCTCATGACAGCCAGACTTGGTATCTACTTGGGAGAGCCTACATGGATATTCAACAATATCCAAAAGCCCATGACAGCTATCAGCAGGCTGTCTTTCTCGCGTACAAGTTCCCAGGCTATTGGAATTCGATCGGATTGCTATATTTCGCAGTCGACCAATACCGTGATAGTCTAGATGTTTTAACACGAAGTATAAGGCTAAATCCTTACATTTCGGAACCTTGGTACAATCTCGGCGTTTTGGTAAGTATCAGAAGATTCCACAAGACTAAGATCACTGATTGAAGCTGCTCTTAGTATGAGACGGTCGCCCAATACCTCGACGCTGCTGACGCCTATCTACGTTATCTCGAAATTGAGCAGAACTCCGATCCAGCTGTCAGCTCTCGCCTGAACTACCTACGACAGATAGTCGCAGACAAGGCAGTTTCTCAGGAGGTACCATTACCTATGAAAGACATTGACCTACGAGGAAATCTAAACCAGCCACAGAAGGTGGAACATGAAGAAGACATTCAAATTCCAGGGTTGAATATGAACGATTCGCTCGATAGTGAAGAAGACTGGGTTGACACGGATTCCGATGAAGACAGAGAATATTCTCACAGCGACGAAGAGGTCAGAATTTGAAATCACGTGTCATAGCTGGCACTGGGATGAATCGGAGATGGACTGTCAACATTCAATTTTGTACAATTTCAAAGAAAACGGAATGAAATAAATATCTTTGGTCTCAACGAAATACTCCTCTCGGGCCATACTCATCTTCTATTAACATTCAGCAGCCTCGAAAGGAGATGTTCAAGCGAGCGTAAATCATACCCCCCACAACAGCAATATGAGACGCATTGCCTTCCCGCTCGTCCTTCCCGGACACCGCAAAGCACAATGAATGATTTCACACCCAGAGGTCACCTACCATCCCCGCGTCAACCAAGATTCTTTCATCAACGATGCAGGCATGGAAAATGATACCGCGGAGGATCCAGCAGAAGATAAACTCACGCTTAATTGTAACTCGTGCCGACCGGTACCCTTAGCTAGAATGTGGACTCATACCTACCGTCATCCGCATTACACTGTCACCTGCCAGACAATAACTGCCCACCTACAACCTCCCGCAAGGCCAAGGAGGTATCTCTTCCACATGGTGCCTCGTAGTGCCATATCCGATCTCTTCTGTAGACGAGGCTACAAATTAGGGATATATATGGGGGCAGAAAGCCTGAAGGGCGAAGTAAATGTCAGCTGTATTTTACCCCGGAGCTCTGGCCGTTCTAATTCTATCTGCTGGACATCGGAAGTCGACTAGGATATCAAGCCTCATCCCAATTTTGAATCTACCTCAAGGTTCTATTAACTCCAACCCTGAGAATCCCAAGTCCACTTTGATATTCCCCTAACTTCATTGAGACCCATATGATCATAACAGCACTCACCCGGATGTGTAAGACTTTGACATCTGCCTGTCTTGTCGTATTATTTTATAAATTTAGTGAGTCGTGATCCATGGCCTCGTAACTCCAAATGACTGCCATCTATTCATAAGACATACGGCCCAGGCTGTCACCATGCTTACTACCCTCAGAAAGCAGATCAAACGTCACACTTTCCCCAAACGCCAGATCTCGTCGAAGCCTAGCCGCCAGCAATTTCCAAGGCTTCACAATATTTCAAGTTTGTCTGCCAGTCAGTCATTCATGCGTCGATCATCAAAACACTCAAATGTATCCAACCATCCGCATAAGCAGCCTCCCTCATCACCTCCTCTAGCGGCGCTCGAAACGGGATGGGCGCACCATGCAATATCGGTTCTGCGAGTATAGCATCCCGTCGGCTCGGGAAGAGCGATGGCAAGATAGTGTTCAGTGCCGATCCTACGGTCTGAGCTTCGCGGTTTTGGGTAAAGGGAGGTACTAGTGTTTGCACAACTTTGAAGGATCCAAGTGTGGAGGATTCAGTGGGTGAAGAGGGCACGTAGACTCGCAAGGGGATGTGCTTTAGTGGTGTGGCGGGATTGAGGAGGATGCTGTTGATTTTGTTGTAGACGGTGAAGTCATCTAGGATGGAAGATCAGCACGTAAGGGATGGCTAGGAGGGGGGGGGGGGGGGGGGGGGGGGGGGGGGGGGGGGGGGGGGGGGGGGGGGGGGGGGGAGCTTGCTGTCTTGCACAGAGTTCCAGAGCTGGGTTGAGTTTTCTTTAGACATGGACATTATGCCCTTGGCTGTGCCATTTCGGATGAAGTCTGCCTGGGGTAGAGGATGTTAGGAGCTGGCTTCCGGACGAGGCTGGTAGGGAGGGACATACTTCTTTAACGCTGTTGATGAAGGTATCGTGGATGTCGAACAGCGGGCCGGAGCCGAGAACTAGGCGCCATGGTAGGGAGGGCTGGTAGAGGTCGCGGAGGAGTCCTACGGGCAAGTTCTTCAGTACGATCCCTTCGTAGGAAAAGCTGGATGCGGGGCCAAAGAACAGGGTCAATCGAGGAAGGAGCAGCGGGAGGTAGGACAGCCGGGGGACTTGGATTAGGTATGGGATGGGAGACGATGGATGGGTGATGTGGAGAGGGATGGTAGAATCCCAGATTTGGGTTTGCATTGCATCGTTGAGACTCGAGAGGATGTTCAAGTTGGATTGTCCGCCTTGTCGTGAGGCTGACAGATTTTGGCCGGGGAGACTAGTGTCCACCCGATAAGTTCAAGCCAAAAGAGGCTAGCGCGCCTTTGCTGGCGCGTCGGACTTCACCCCCTTGAATTCATTCTTCACCATCTCTTCCGCTCCACTTGAGCAAAACATGTGAGTCTCGCCCCTGATTCATGGGCTCGGATGATTTGGATCCTGGTCGACACTCCCGATGATCCGAAACCCCCTGCATCTGCCATCGTTGATTCATGTTCGTCCTTTCCATCAGCTATGTTGCAGCAGATTCCAACGGTGAGGAAGTGCAGCTCGAAATCACCATCAGCATCAACATTAGGTCACGCATACCCATTCTTTGCATAAATTTTAAGAATCCTTCGTCCAAGGAGTTGTGAAGTTTCACAAGTATCTGATGACGTTGTTTCCCGAGCCCTGCAAGCGCATGCATGTTGAGCTTTCAGCTGGAAATGTGGACGCGGCAAACACAATCGTTCAAGGGGTTTCAATACTTACTTGCCCTGAAGGCGGCTCGCGGCTCGTGGGAAGTGGCTATGGCTTCGGGATTAAACTTTGGTCCCCTTCTAAGACACCAATCATACAGTACCGGTTTTGTCGACGTCGAATTAGTTTCTCTTGCTGCCCCCTAGATCCCGTCCACATCCTTCCAGAAGCATTCAATTCGTCCCAAAGGCATTTGCAAGTAATTCCAACCTTGCAACTGACTCGTATCAATCGTTGGGACTCAAGTGGATATTTTCAGCTATTGCTTTTCCCAGGGTTCAATGCCAAGTTATTTCTTCGAGGCTCTGCAGATGCAAAAAGTCGGACTCGAATTTCTCTGACGTGAGTTGCTCTGGCTTCGCTTTCCATTTCCCAAGAGTTGACGGCCCCAAAGAATGGGAACATTTATTCCGCGTGTGCAAGTGCGCGTTCGAGTCATGCCCTGGAAAGATCCGATGAGATGCGCACGGACAGGCCCCTGCATGAAACGCTAGGCTTTCCAGATCAGAACACAGTTACACAGGGTCAGGGGATATACCCAGATGACTTTGCTCCCCCCCTCAATAAAACGTGGCGCGGCCAGGGTACGGAGGGTACGGTAGACGTCGGGACGGCCGTGCTAGCCTTGTCACGCTACATTTTATTTCGTAGCAGGCATAATAGTTCCAAGAAACAAAGGATCTGCTTTACCTTAAGAGGTACTATTTCAGCAGAACCCAAGAGCTCTACTGGCTGGTTTCCCTATTAGCACAGAATCTTCCCAAAAATGTTTTGTAACTGCAGCACAAGTATTACACCAAGGTGAGGTAGGGGGGAGGGAGAGCACAGATTCTCCCCACTATTTCTGGGCCACTTCAATCTTGCCTCCCACCCATCACAACCAATTGCCCAAGCCCTCAAATCAACCCTGTTGCATGATTTCTCGAAACCGCCATGGGAGAAGCGTGGGTTTACTGGTACAGGATGGCTCGAAGTAGGGCTAAACGACGTTTGCAGGGGATGACAAGGATCAGCACGTGGAACCGAGGGCAAAATGGGCCCGACATGCATGACGACGCTCCCGCTCGCGTGGGGCTGAGGGGCTGCTTACTGTCTTTGGTGTCAAACTCGCAGTTCTGAAAAGAGCATCAACTGGGATTGAAGGTAAGGATCAAGCATTCGACATGGTTGCACCCAGAGTCCGATCTGTTTGTCGATCTAGCTCAAAAGCTGGGACGTTCTCTTGGCCATCTCCTCTGGGGAACAAATTCCTTTTTGGTTGTTCTTCTTCCCCGACTTTTCTTCAAAAAGCTTGGCTGTCTGTCTGAAAATGAGTTGCCGAGGCCATTCGCGCTGGTGTTAAGATAAAGCGAACGACACTTTGATCCGAGCCTGAGCTGGTCTCCTTGACCGCGCCGATGAGTGGTGGAATCCCACACGAGGCTGTGCCAGTCTCTGTGATCGTTTTGTTGTACTCCGTGATATGCTTCACTCTATGTTTTCTCCTGGTCCTTCTCCTCATTAGTTTTGGCGAAAGATGGACGTGTAAGTAATGGTACCGTTGATCTATGAAGGTTTTTAACTTTGCAACAGATGTTACAGTATTCTCGGCATTTACAGCACTGAGTACACTTGGCTCAATAACTCAACAGCTTCATTACGCAACATCTTGGGTTATCATCAAAGAAGCACAATTTCATAAAGCTGTTGAAAGTTTGGATCATCCAGGTCTGGCTCTCGGCGGCGCTGCTCAGCCTGTAGATGTAGTCCTCTTCTTCATTCGTAAGCTCCCTCAAAGTGCATATCCCAGTATAAACACTAAACCCGATTGTAGAGTTCTACTGCTACAACGTCATGGCTCTTAACATCCTATTCTGGTAAGCCCATTGGATCCGATCCTTCAGAGCTGCACTCATTTTGCATAGGGCTATTCAATTATTTATTGGGTCCTGGGATATTCGCTCAAATTGGCTTGGCAATTGGCATGACCGTGGGCCGTTGATATCCAAGGTGTTCTCGATAATCTTCCCTGGGCTTATCGTTGGCCTGTTGAATATCCAAGCCGTGACCGACAACACTGCAGCGTTCATTATCGTTGCATATGTCGCGAGTAAGTGCTTTACCGGGAGTGTTGAAGCTGCTTTACTGACACAAAACAGTGTTTACAAGTCTCTCTATGGGAGGCGTCCTTCTCATATTGATTCTTTACAAATATGTGAAGACTCGTCGCTTAGTTGCTGGGTATTCAAGAAGAGGGCGTTGGTGGGGCTCATCCTCAGAGACAAGTAATGATCGATCGAGGGCCACGACAGACTTTAGCCAGCAAACTACGGTAGAGTCAGGAGTTACTTCCAGTACAAAAAGGTCGATTTATGATCGGGCGTTACTGATTAGATTCTCAATCGGGTTTACAATTCTCGCGTACGTCGTTTCCTCACCTAAGAGCCAATTTAACTAACGGTTGGAAGTGTTTTTGAGGTTGCCATCATAGTATTTACTCTATTTCAAGCGAACAATAACGCTTCGATAGCTGCTTCAGGAGCCCCTAACTTCTCAGTCTCAAGTACCATCGCAGACATCGTTTTATTTATTCCTGGCGTCACTGCTTCACTCGTAGCTTTCTTGGTTTTCGGTACAACGAAGTCATGGCGCCAATATTGGGATCTCGTGTCTGGAGGCTGCGGAGTGAAAAGAAAACTCGTTATGAGGAAGGTGCGGAGAAGCGAGGAGGAGAGCCGAAGTCAAGGTCTGGAATTCCAAAGACTCGACAGTCTTCCACATCGCGAATCAGAGGAGATAAGACGAAAAGACGCCGAAAACAGAGTACGAATGTTCGTGAAAGAGGCTGGACCTCAAGACTTCGATGAATCAGACTCCCCAACGAACTCTGGGCCATCGACTCATGTCAGAGCGGAAATCGTGGGTCGCTCAGTTCAGTTTCACAAACCGATGCCAGCGGAAAAATTTGCTCCTAAGCAGCCATCACCCGGGGTCATTGAAGTTAGTTTCTCAGTCAATCAAGAGGACGAAGTCATACAATATGAGGGGAATGGAGGAAATCAGCATGGACAGGCGCGGCACGTTGCAGAACCCAGGAGGTTCGTGTTGGAACGACTACCAAAGCACACAGAGACAGACTTCCTGGAAAGCGCTAGCGAATAAACATAGCTGACAGCTGAGAAGTCCAACTAGATCGGAAGCTGAGAGCGACACCATCGAACTCGTGCCCCGAGATCCAAACCGGAATACGCAATGGCCGAGTGTACCGGGAGATTGAGAGTCTGAAGGGACGATGATATGAAGCCTTGCGTAAGATTTATCTCCATGGATTTTGGACATTGCAGCTGGATTGTGCAGTACCGGAAGCCGAAAGCGGTCGGGCCAGCCCGAGTTATCTCGAAAGGGGTGCTTTCAGACTGGCAACAGTCAGCAGTCGATGCAGTGAATTCATAGAGTAAGTTTAATCCAACCATCCAATGGAATCAAACGCTGATGAGCGCTATTGTCAGTAGCCTCATATTTACCCAGACGAGGAAGCTTTTCCAGGCACCCAATCTGAGAATGGTAAAGTCCGTGGATGTAAGCCATTTTCAGTTGGCGGCAGGCTTCTTTTGTTCGCCCTAGGCAGATCCGGGGTCGGGCGTGAAGAGTCTGAAAGCGCTTAGGCTGACCGAGCACTTGACTCTAACTGGTGGCTGTTTACGACGACGTTGTAGTGCCCCTGGTGCTTACTCCGCGTAAAGCTAGTCATCTCAGCCCCGGTGGGAACGGATTACTCATGATTTAGTTATAATATCAGAGAGAAGGCTCCTTGAGTCTCCGGTCTCCTTTCTTGCTTCAATCTCAAATTTCTTGCTGCAAGCCGTCAATGAAGCAAGACGTCACGACGGCACCTGCCATAAGTTACCCACAGTTGATCACGTATTCAATTCTTGCATGTGGCATTTATATCTTCGCACTGGTGATTTACCGCCCGCTTGTCAAGTTCCCTGGACCAAAGCTTGCAGCAGCAACCCTATGGCCAGTTTCTCTTCCATATATCAACTCACAAAGCTGACAATTCAGGTGTGAGTGCTAACACGATGTCGTGAAGAACGGAACCTATGTCTGGAGAATCCAAGAGCTGGACAAACAATATAGTCCAAATATCCGTATCCGCCCCAATGCTCTGCACGTCAACAACCCGGATTTCTAAGATGTGTACTGCGGCAAAGTGGGCGAGAAGCGAGACAAGTACGCTTGGGCCATGCCGCATTTCAACACGCCGCCAGCGATGGCTGCAACGGTGGAGCACAATGTTCACCGTCTGCGTCGATGGGCTGTCGCTCAGATCTTCTCGAAAGCAAATATCACGAGACTTAATTACGTGCTGAAGGATAATGTCAACAAGTTCCTGGGCAGACTGCAAGAATTTGGGGAGAGTGGCGAGCCGGTCAATGTCTTGAACGGATTCAAGGCTCTAACTAGTGATATGTTGACTATATATGCCTTCGGAGAATCTCATTGCTACCTTGATGTCAAGAAATTCAGCAAGCCTTTCTGGGATCTGTTCTAGGGATTGACTCATATGGATGCGATGACGAACCACTTCCCGCTTTTTACAGGTTCGTGATGGGTCTGCCGGACTTTTGGCAGAAAGCGATGGGGATGGAGTGTATTATGCTTTTTGAGAAGGTGTGTTTCTCTTGCCTCATGCGCGAAGGTGCTAATAGAGAAACAGAAATTGAGAAAACAGGTACAGGCGATGGTTGATAACAAGGAGCTGGACGGGAAGGACGCGAGGACGATATTCAGGGATCGCCCCCGGAAGAGAAGTCTATTGAGAGGATATGGCAGGATGGTCGGTTTTCACATTGCGGGTAGGGAGGCGACTTCCTGGGCTTGGCAAATTGTACTTTTACCTTTTGGGCAATTCGGAGATGTTGAAGAGGGTAAGGGAGGAGGTCAGGGTGGTTATGCCAGCTGGGACGATCGATGATGTCTGTTTCGGAACTGGAGGCCCTGCCTTATTTGGTTTGTTATCCCGTCATCGAGTAAGACGTCTTACTAATGTGTTTTAGACTGCAGTGATCAAAGAAGCGCTTCGTCTTAGCTTAGGCATGAGCAATCCTCTCCTCTCTCTCAGCCCCTTTATCTTCTCGGATCCAGAAACCTTTGACCCGACACGCTGGCTGGACAACCCACAACTGGATCGCTTTCTGGTGGCGTTTACTAAGGGCCCGAGACGGTGCGTGGGGTTGGATCTTGCCTGGGCGTAGCTGTACCTTACGGTTGCGGGTCTGTTTGCGAGATATGGAGTGGAGGGAGAGGGGAAGGAGAAGGGGAGGACGATGAGGCTGTGGAAGACGAGTGTAGAGGATGTGAGAACAGCTCATGACTTCTTGATTCCGGCACCGAGGCTGGAGTCGAAGCGGGTGAGGGTTGTGGTTTCCAGTTAGAGGAAAGGGAGAAGGTTCAGCTCTAAGGAAGGGAGCACTGCAGGTTGCTGTTCAATTGGATCGACGTCATTTTCGCGACTTCTACAGCTGAGGTCTTGGTCGTTGTCCTGCTTTCAATGGTGCATTTGAAGCTTCGGAATGCAGCCCATGATCTGACCTGAGTGGTAGCTCAGGTCACTCTTGATGTTCGTCTCATCCATGAACTAGGGTATTACCGGGCTCGGAGCTTTTTCCTTATACAGCTTTCCCAGCTCTAATCTTGATTCTCGTCCGACCTCGATATCATCTTTGAACTGAGGCTTTACTGGGTATCTGGCAAGCTCACCTTAAATGATGTTGAATTCATATTGAGCAGGAATGAGGATCTTCCAAGCATTGACTGTGGAAGCTGTGGATACATCTTGACTGACTGGATTGCCATGTGAAGACGAGATGAACCTGTACGATTCGTGCGAAAAAGATTCCGCATATGCCATCATGCAAGAGGGCTGTCCGTGCTCTTGAAGGTTTGCAACCTCAAACTGGGGCTCCCCTTCGGTGCCGTACCGCGTTCAACAACGGTTTGATTCTCGTCTCGCTACATCTTGCATCTCACCTCATACCTTTCAAGCCACAGCTATGTTCAAGGTCCCCCGCTATCACCACACTGTCATGTGATGCTGTACTCTTTTCCGATGTTTGCCCGTGTCTAGAATTTTCACGAGAATTTCGGTCTTGTTTCCGGGGCGGCAACGGCTATGACGGCAAATGATGCAAAATTGGGGCAAAGGCTGGATCTCAGCAAATCACAGGCAGAAAACTCACGTTAAAGCTGAAGACATTTCAAAGTACTGCAGGGCGGTGCTCCGAAGAGATTAGACCTTTCCCCATTCGTCTGAATCTTCCAAAAATGGGGGCTCGAATGCTCCCTTAACAGGTTGACAGCCAACCAGAGCCAACTTGACTGGTTAAGTTGGAGGCAGGTGCCCGATTGTCGGAATGCCTGTCTCCAATTGAGGTATTTGACTCATGGTTGACCTCTGTGTATCTTCATTCTATTTCCCTGCTTTCAATTGTTTCCTGTGCCATCGATTGAACAGCTGAGAGTTTGCCAGTTGTTGCCTTTCATGATCCAAGAGGAAGACGTCAATTGCCACTACTCTCTATTCTCGTACTATGATTCTGTATTTCAACCATCCAAATTGATTAATCATATTCATTATGTCTCAGAGTCACCATGAAGAACCAGTCGTTGAATCTGAGAAGAAAACTGAAATAGATCGTCAAGATGCGGAAACGATTCATTCAGTCAACACCGAACGAGAACCCACGAATCTAACAAACATTCGTTCTCGTGTGTCAACACACGATGTTCCAATTGAGCATTACAGCTCGTACATCCCCGTCCCGGATGAGGTTTATGATCGCCTTCCACCGTCCAGAAAAGTAGTCATCGTGACACTTCTGTCCTTCTGCAGTTTTCTCGCTCCAATCTCATCCACTACTATTTTGGCGGCTGTCCCCGAGGTCGCAGCGACCTATAGCAGTACCGGCACGATTATAAATTTGAGCAATGCTTTGTATATGCTCTTCATGGGAGTCTCTCCTTGTGTGTACGGACCTTTGAGCCAGGTATACGGAAGACGAATTGTAAGCCTTCTTTAAAATCCAAGAAGACTCCATCTTACAGAACATCTCAGACCTGTTTGATTACGGCAATACTATTTATGGGTTGCTCACTCGGCACAGCCCTCTCCCCAAACCTCGTATCCTACTTCATCTTCCGAATCCTCACTGCATTTGAAGGGACCGCTTTCCTCACGATTGGAGCCTCTTGTATCGGCGACATCTACCGTCCCTCGGAAAGAGCCACAGCAATGGGTTGGTTCTTATCAGGGACTCTCATCGGCCCAGCTTTTGGGCCGTTCATCGGCGGAATAATCGTCACTTTCAAGTCCTGGCGCGTGATCTTCTACCTTCAGACCACACTCGCAGGTGTAGCAACAATCGGCGCCTATTTCCTTCTTCCAGAGACGGCTCATCATATGAAGATTGATGATCTGGTCGGTCTCCCCCTGAGAGCCAAGGCAAGAGTTCTCTGGGGCATGCTGAATCCGTGGAGAGTTATCAGGCTCTATAAATACCCCAACCTCATTATGGTGGCCCTGGCTTCCTCTTCCTTGGTCTGGAATATGTACTCCCTTCTCACGCCTATCCGGTACATCCTCAACCCAAGATTCAACCTGACAACGCCGATTCAATCAGGGCTCTTCTACCTCGCTCCTGGATGCGGATACATTCTTGGGACCTTCGGAGGCGGCAAGTACGCCGACTACATCACCATCAAGTGGACAAAGAAGAGAGGCGTCCGTGTTTCAGAAGACCGTCTACGTTCCGCGCTCCCTTTTATGGGAATCGTGATGCCGATCTGCATGTTGTTGTATGGCTGGTCTGTCGAGAAACGCTTTGGTGGTATTGCTCTGCCTGTCATTATGATGTTTGTGCAGGGAGTGGCTCAGTTGTTTTGCTTTCCAAGTTTGAATACGTATTGTCTGGATGTGATGCAGCAGAATGGGGCCGAGGTGATTGCCGGGAACTACATGATCCGATACTTGTTCGCAGCGTTGGGAAGTGCGACTGTGTTGCCGGCTGTGGAGAAGATTGGTGTTGGGTGGTTCTCTACAATTTCAGCGTTGTTTCTCGTGGTCAGTAGCTTGGCAACGTGGGCTGCTGTGCTTTGGGGGAGGGGATGGAGGGAGAAGATTGACCAAAAGCGGAGGGCGAATAGAGGAAAGATGGCGGAGGCGGAACATGAGTTGAAGGTGGTCATGGACAATGGAAAGGAGAAGGAAATGGTGTGATATCGAGACACTTAAAATGATTTTTGCATTTTGGGAGTTGGTGAAATAGTATAGTTGCATATACTTAGGATCCAGACTTAATACCCAGTGGAGTTCAGCCAAACGTTATCTTCTGCCTGGTCAAGTCCCGGAACACATCGTCGAGAACTTGCCGCTTACGCTTCACACCTTCGTCCTGATCATCATCCTGACGCTTCAGGCTGTCTTCCTCTTCTTTATCAAGGAGTTCGTCTTCGGCAGTCCTTGGTAGCCAGGCTCTGATCTGACCATCAGTGTGGGCAGAGTATATTCCTTCAGCTTGTCCTCTCCACACGAGTCCTGTTATTCGATTCTTGATGTTTCTTTCTCCTGTTCTGGATTTCACGGCGGCTATAGTGGGTCCTGGAACCTTGAGGCGTTTGAGAAGCTTCCCTTCATGTAATTCAAACATAAGAAGTTCCTTCTCGTTGGGGTAGAATAAAATCTCTTTTCCAGGGGAGGAAGCTAGGCTTGGGGAGACGACGAGTGGTAGGTTTGAGAGGTGACCATTCTTAATTATCGGACCGAAGCTCGCAAGAGTATTGGCTCCTGTTGCGGCGTCCCATACGCGGATTCGTTCGTCGTGGCCCGCTGTTATCAAATATGCCCCATCGTCAGTCCAGGTAATTCCGTTCACAGCAGCGGTGTGTGCTTTTCCAACATCTCGAGCACGAGCACTTCTCCCCACCCCATCCATACCAGTGATTCCTGTTGAGTCTTCCATATTCAGGACCCCCAAAGCACCAGAACTTTTCCTGATATCCCAGAGCCGCACGGTCCCATCAATACCTCCACTTGCTAGAATATGTTCCAAAGTCGGACTCCATGCCAAAGATAATAAGGCCCCATGATGACCAACTAGCGAATGTGTGCTCGAACCAGTTCGAAGATCGACGAGTCGGACGGCAGGATGCTGTGTGGCACATGCAACTAAGACGTGACTTGCAATGGGCGAAAGAGCGTGGGTATAGATGATCGAGTTCAAATCGAAGTTCGCGTTCACTGAAAGGGTCTCGGTGGCGTACAGCTTCAGGTGATGATCGTAAGATGAGGACAGGAAGGCTGCTGAGTCGAAGGGATAGAAACTGAGGTGTGTGATGCCAAATTTGTGTGCAGACGCAGTCCTATATCATTACGACCATCCTTGCATGGCTCGGACAGTCAGCTTACCTTGGAACTATCCCAGTTGGTCTGAAAATATGCTTCGACCCTGCGGTAAGCTCTTCAAGATCCCAGAGCTTGATGGAGGAGTCTGCTCCCCCTGATATCAAACTGCTAGCGTCAGCGTTGGAAAGGGATGGCGGTCAGCCTGCTTGCATTCTGCTCTCGATGTCCAAAGCGAGAGCATTGACTCCCGCTTGATGAGCCCATATCTTAGTCTCAGTGGATGGTTCTGCTTGAGATCCTACGCCTTCACTGGTATCGTCTTCTATGGCAGCCTCTTTCTCGCCGCCATTAAACCGCAGCCTTGGGGCAGGCTGAATCGCAAGAACGAGCGCTGAGGTCTGAATTCGTGCGAAGGCTGGAGGGCCAAGATTGCCACTTGATCGGTCAAACAACAACTTATTCATGCATTTATAGCTCCGCGGCAATTATCGATAGATTTGGAAAGTTGTGATGATGTTGAGGCTAGGAAGGGTGACTGCCATCGGAACGTAAGGCTGATATTACCCCCACGTGATTTGCCCTTTCTTTTTTTCGCTCTTGCAATGGTACGTCAACGAACCTCCAACTTTTCCTCCCGCCGCGGAATGTCGATATGACCTCCAGGTCTTTCTTGGAAGGGGCTTTCATACATCCCGAATCTTCTCCCGAAAATTCAGTCAAGGAAAAATCGTTGAATTATAGGCATCCAACCGTGTACGATGCAGTCGCTGGTAACCTTTGTTTATTCTTATCAACCTATCAACCCCTACTTCACTGGCTAACATTATATAGGCAGAATCTCTGCTGGAGGATTTATTCCAAAGCACCTGGTAGTCACTGCGAATCGAGATACAGCATCCTCTTCTACAGCTGCTCTACCTCCAGAATCAGTACTGTTTCGAAGCAGGAATGCTCCTACCAGATACGCCGAATCTGACATCTACTTTTCCGACGAGAGACGGTCACCGATTGGCCTACCAGAATCCGATCTTCTGAAAGCACTTCATAGCTACACTTCGGATTTCTACTCACGTGCTACCGCCGATGTTGGAGCCGGAGACTGGAAGAGCTTAGATGAAACGGCATTGATTGCATTTGGATTTCTGATGGAAGAAGCATCACGAGATATCCTTGGGCAAACCGGCGATTTGGTGTTCACAGAAGGCGAGGAAGTAACAGAACAAGTTTCTGGGGCGCCATCAGCACAGCGGACGAAGTCAAAAGGACGGCCTTCGAAGAAGAGGCGAGTTGATACCAGATGAAGGAGGGAGGAGAAGATGACATTTACTTAGGACGAATGTATCCGAATAGCTCTTGGAGTCGAGTTTCCGGCATGCAAACACGACAACCTTGAGTCCGAAAGCCTCCGTTCATCCAGTCCGCCTCAACGTGACTAACTCACATGGCTAGTCTTCCCCCCTCCCCTCGCTCGGGATGGCAAGCTTGATGATCTCGCCGAGGATCTTGAGCATACGGGGTGTTTAAGTTGCCACATCAAGATTTCAAGACCGTACTGTTGTTGGTCCTGCGTTTCCATCAAAAGAATGTTCCATGACAAGGGCGTTTTTGCAGAATAGTTCGATGGAGGAGATGCTCCACAGCCACCAAGGGATTGGCGAGTGTACGACGATGACTCTAGCTGTTTCCAATTCTGCTTGGCAATGACTGGTACCGCTTTTTCGAATTATGCCATTCCAAAAGCAATACCCCGCCACGGTTTCAACTATCGCTTGGTTCTGGGGCAATCCAGTGTCTTTGTCATCCACCATGCGGTAGTGGCTGCGAATCCACATTCTTTTTTGAAGATGTGATTGACCACCCGCCAAATTGCTGGGAACCTTTCTTTTTTCTGAGGCGTTTTCGATTCTTGGTTCTGGAAGACCGAGTCACGGCCTCAACCGTTTCATTGTGCATAGGGATGATACTTTACAGTAAAAGGAAAGAATTACCGTGATGGTAGTAATGTAAGGAGTAGAGTAGGTGGATGAGATGTCATGTGATGCACTAGCCCGTTTAGGTAAGAAAAAAACGGGAGCTAAGCCCTAAAAGTACTAGGAGCACCCAACAGGTGGTCTCTTCTTTGTCACCCCCAATGTGAGATCCTGGATTTTGGGCCTTGAAAGCCTGGAAGTAATTTACGATAGGCCCATACAAGCCCTAAAATTGTCTCTTCTAGGCTTAAGAAGCCCCCCAAAGTCTAGAAAGCCCCCCTTCAAAACGCACGTGCTGTAACGATGAAAGCTCCTTACATTACGTAAGGATGAAATATCACGATATTACGGGTCTTGATACAATCCCCCCACCCTAATTGTGCAAGTAAGTTCAAGAGCAATCGAGAATGTTCTTTTCAATGTCGAGAAGCACTCGAAATGCTCCACGGTAGACCGCATCTGGTCAGATCAATTGGTGCCTTTACGGAAAGGCTGCTTATACACAAGCGAAATATCCTGACTCGAGTTTTCCGATTGAGTTCAGTCTCCCCACCAAAGCCCCAGGTTTCCAATCCTTCCTCCACACTCCATGGCGTTTCTGATTCCGATTTTAGCATTTCGGATACGACTGATCTTTTTGCATTGGTTGGTAGGCTTGCGCGTGATCATAGTTTTACGTCCGCTTCTGCCAGCGTTTTGGTATCGAGCGGGATAATTAGAGGGGTTGGACATCTCCTCCAATAACCAGCCTCGAATCTGAAGGTGCAACTCAACCCCCCCTGGTCCTCGTCGAAATTCCACGTGGGGAAGGGTCAAAGCAAAATTGCAAGAATCCCCAAAATCGATGAATCGAGTCAGTCCGCCGTTGTCTGGCAGGGTTGGAGATAGGGGAGAGGAGGCTTCAGCCGCCCTCCAATGATCGGCAACGACTGCCGTTGATCAGGCGGACGTTGTTAAAATTGCGACCCTTTGAGAAGCTGATGGGCTTCGGAAAACGGAGAATTGCAGATGGGTAGTCATGCAACCGGCCGAGATGCGTTGCCGGACGGATGTGCGATCGCAGATTCGTACCGGTGCTGGGACACCGACAAATCGACCCCATCGTTGTTTGCGAGCCGTGATAAATGACTGGTCATAAAACCGAGAGGGTTTCGTGGTCAGCAAGAATCTACGGAGTCGCCTATGATTATTTCTGGGGTCGAGGTCCCAACGCCCTTGGAGGCTCGGATATCGCGATCCTGCCTCACCACCAGCACGGACCTCGCCAGAAGGTGTGCCTTTTCCGGTCAACCTTGCCTTTTGCCTCTTTCAGACGACCGCCTCACGGCGGAGATCTGCATTGTGCTGACTGTTCTGTGCGCATTAGCAGCATGAGCAGCGTTAGCAGCATTGACATCGAATTAATTTCCTTCAGTACAGCCCTACAGCATCGCAACGTCCCCTCCCTTTGAATCTCGATTCTCGATCGAATCTGGCATGGACGTTGTTGGAACTTGGAGGGCTGAACGCGTGACTTGTAGGAGGTGGGGGACCGTCCTCATCATCATGCGCTCATACGTTCGCTCATGCGTTCGCTCATGCTATCAGTATGTTGCTCCAGCTTTCTCCAAGCCGTCCCTGGCGGCCTTTGGCCTTTGTTGGAGATTCCCCCTGCGGCCCTGCCCCGCTTGCTCGGCCAAAGCTGCCGACGGTTCGGTGGGCGCACCGCCCGATGCAACAGTACAGTGCCAATGTGCCATGCTGCCAATTGAAGCCCGATGGACGTCTGCCAACTCCACAGAGCCCGAAGACTCACAGACGCGATCGACAGCTTTGCTGAACAGCGGTCACATCTGCCGAGGTTACATTGCGGTGAAGAACCGTTACTGTAACTGTTTTTCCTGGTGCAATAAGGAAGGCTGGTTGCACACCGCGCAGGACGTCATGGCCCATGGGAGTATTTCCTGCAGGTAGCAGCCTTACTTTCCTCAAAATGTCGTGTCCGAGCTTGGCGGAGGTCATCTGTACGTTGGCCGTTTTCGACAGAAAGCACGTTCGGGGTTTGAAACACACTTCATTCAAAAAAATGAAAAAAATTCCGGGTTGATAGTGGCAAGTTGGAGTTCTTGAAGTATTTTGCGAGCTGGGGAGAAGCCAGCCTGACGGTGCCCAATCACGATCATCTCTACCTGGAACATGCCCCTGTTGGCTGCCGCGAAGAGAGACAGCTTTCAAGCGTCAAGAGGTAAGGCTTTTCCAGGATTTATCTTGTAGCTCTTCGCTTGACGAGATTCAGCTCATCTCAGGCTTCTCAGCCCGCATCCAAATAATGGTACCATCGCCTGCAAAAGTTCAGGAGCGGGGCGCTGTGCGGACCGCCTCACCGCCGCATCGAACAGATGTGAAGTTTCTCGGGTCCGGCTCGGGAGGTCTTGTTTGGATTGGCCTTGGCTGATTATTGTTGTTCAGCTGACGACTTGCAGGCTGTTGCAGTAGTGAGTGCTCAAATCTGCAAGGCTGAGATATCCCGCTTCTAGCTTTACTCGTTAGCCCCGTCGAATCTTAGCAGGACAAATACTCTCACTTCAATTGACCACGCAAAGTCTTGGAATGACAGACCGAAGCTCTTGAGAGTAAGGGCTCTCTCCTTCGGTCGTCGGTGACGTGCGCCCCTGAGTCAAGCAGGAGCAAAGCTAAACGGGGATGATCCTCTGGGTCAGAAGCCAGGCACCGTGGATTCATTGGCCACGACTGGTCCCGACTGACTCCAACTACCGCTTTTAGGGTAAGAGGCGATCTCTGCTGATACCGCTCTTTGATATTCTTTCCAACTATCTCCGGGCACGGACTCTTCGCAAGCTGGTACGGTTGAGTTTCTGGTTGTGGCCAAGGACAAACGCCAAGCGATGGGTGGCGCTGTTGCTCGGGGTAAAGGGCTCCGCTTGGACTCCAGCACAGGCTGGCTTTTGATTGTAGTCTCTGACTTGAGATGATTATCTTCCTCCTGGCGATCCGGAAGCAATGCTGTAGCTTCTAGTCGAGCAACTCTCCTCGCGTACTGCACTCACCAAGCAGTGTTAGCAGCAGCAGCAGCAGCTGCTGCTGCTCACAGCCCCACGGATATCAAAATATGTCCCGCTCTCGACGACACAGAACGGCGGGCGGGCAAGTGTCTTCCGGGCTCCTCTTTTCCCATGAATGATCCACGATTGATTCATTTCCCTCCGGAGCATAAGCCTTTAACCGTCACGACTCACACAACCTGGGCCCCCCCTGGTCAAAGTGCGCCCTCGCTGGCCCAAGGGCATGGGAGCGGTAGACTTGGGGCTTCAAGTGCGGGCTGGGAGCCCTGCAAATCTGTCCAGCGAGGACTCGAAGCCCAAAGAAGACGCCCAGAAGTCCAAAGCCACGCTTCCACGCTGAAGTCCAACATCATGGTGTGCCGTCCCCGGCGGTCGATGTGACGCCCTTTGGGATCCTGAGAAGACGCCCACGACGCCCGTATTGACGAACTAACGAAGAAAAAGCACAGTGGCAGCACGGTGACAGGTTGCCGCTGACTATCGGTGATGCTCTCTGTGTGGGTGCACCATGACGTGCAACTGGCAACTAGCAACTGGCAACTGGTCAGTTTACCGCGCTCTTTCTGGCCTTGGCACTGCCTCCCATTTGATTCAGCGCGATGTGGCCCAGAGCAAGTAGAGCAAGCGACCAAGCGAACAAGCGACTTCCAGCAAGGAGCGCGATACCGCACGAATCTACGATAATGGAGGCTGCCCCGAGGCCTCCTAGTTGGCCTGGCTGTCTACAGTGCCGCACAAATCTGTGGAATTGATTCGGACTCGATAGGGCCGGGTGCCGTGTGTGGTGGAGTCTCTGCACGCCACATCCACAAGGATGGCCAGAGCCAGGCCGTAAGGGGGGGGGGCCGACGAGGGGCGGACAAAGTGGAGGAGCACGGAGCTCAGCTAGTTTCCGAAGCTCTCCTGCCCTGCCTGGCAAGAGGCAAGCATCGCAGAGTTTGGAGGAGACTCGACTCGCAGCTTGGTGGCAGAGTGGGCAGTTGGCAGCGGGCACTTGGCTACTTCGTACGTACTCCGTACGTACAGTGCTACACACTTCGCTGCGCCCGCGACCCAGCGACCCAGCAACCCAGCAATTCAGAGACTGGCTCCAGCCTCCAGCCTCCAGCCTCCAGCCTCCGGCAGTCTTCTTCCCTCCACTCCTCTCCCCCCAGTGCTCGACGGCCCACCACCTTGGCCTTGCGGAATTCTTGACCTTGGAGCTTGGGGGTTGTCCGTACCGCTGCTGCTAGTCTCTAGCCACAGCCTACAGTACGCTCGCCCTGCTCCAGAGTCCAGACAGACTCCAGAGCGCGCGACCAACCTGATGATACCCAACCGACCGCCTCAGACATCCCCGTGCTGTGCTCATCATCTTGCCTCACCGTTGCTCTCTGTTACCTCGCCTTGCCCCAGACCCTGTCGCCGTCGCCTATCAGCACCAACCCGTGACTGCCCGCCTCCCGCCCACTCATCGCTATCACCAACGACCGACCCCGGGTCACAACTGCGCCGTGTAGCGCGCTCTCGATCTTGGATTGCACGGGTTGCAGCGTACTGACCGCGCTCTGCTGCTCTCAACCGCAATCCTCGAATTGTCACCCGTGTCTGGCGGTGCAATTGCAACGGCGAGCGCGAATTGAAAGGTGGCGGCGTTGTTGCTATCAAGCCAAAACTCCGCGCCTCTTTTAACGAGAAGTCGCTTCTCCAGAGTCAGCCTCCCCTCCCCCCCAACACATCTTGGGCAACCGCGAGAGATCTTGGAGTAAACGGCGTGCATCGCATTGCATGTTCCCAGAAATCTCTCACCCTTCGCAGATCCACAGCAGAACGCGCAGGCAATTGCCAAGTTAAGGTATCCATCCTGTCTTCAAGCTTCTTGCCTGTCCCTCTTCTGCCCACCTCGGCTTGGGCTCTTACCCTCCTCCTCCGCCATGCACGTCCAGACTGCTGATCGCCGTCTCCCAATACAGACAATTGCAATTCCTTCCTACGAGCCCAGTCGCGCGTTCCCTGTTACATGACACACATGATCAACACGTCAACCTGTCCCACTCTTCGGCGCAGATGATCTCCCATCGAGCTCCCAACGTCTCCGTGTTCACGGAGAACCTGTAAGAAGCCGCAGCACTCGACGGCCGTCCATGGCCTCTGATGCTGTGGCCACTTGAGAGTCTGTGTGAATAGTTATGATGAATAACGGGGGACCACCCGAGAAGCGTCCGCGACATGAGGGCCTGCCTCCTCCTTCTGGGCCATGGCAGCCTCCACCAGACACCTCTCGACAGCTTCCCTCTATCTCACACAGCTTCCCACCGACACCACAAGAGCATGCGCCTCCGTATCAGCAACATGGGCTGCCGTTCTCTTCTCGACCTCCTGAGCCTCCACCTCATTTAGCAGATCGTCGAACAACAGAACACGCGCCGCCGCCGCCGCCGCCGTGGGACCATTCGGATCACCGCCGACCAAGCTCTGGACCTTCGCATGGCTATCAAGCTGGGCCCCCTTCACAACTGCCACCCTTCGGAGGGCCTCGTGAAGCGACGATGGTGAAGAGAGATCCATCAGAAGACACGCCACAACATCAGTACAGGCAAAACTCCACGGGGCATGGTCCCGAGCACAGCGCGAATGCTCCTCACCACGAGGGGCCTGCTCGGCCCTTTCACCCACCATCCTACGATCCAACCCATGCCCGACCTCAACCGTATGCCTCGTATCCTCAGCCACATACTGGTAGCCCTGTGTCCGCCTCTAACCCGTATCATCCCGGCTACGGAAGACCTGATCTCCCTCCTCCAGATCATCAGTTCACTTCTGTTTCTTACCCGACCCCAGGTCGGCCTTCCAGCGATCAGGTACGAAAGAAGGCACAACGAGCAGCTCAAGCCTGCGACAGTTGTCGTACTCTCAAGGCCAAATGTGACGAAGGAAGACCTGCGTGTAGTAGCTGTAAGGAGAAGACTATTGAATGCCGTTATCGAGACCCACCTCCGAAGCAGTAGGTTTTGTCGATCACCGTACCGTAGAATGCTAATAGAAGTAGGCAAGACAAGGCTTCAGCTGACATTATGGATGGTCTGACTCGCTTTGAAAATAATTTCAACACCAAATTTGACTATCTCACGACTGAGATGAATGAGATGCGACGAGTTCAAAGGCACATTCTCCAAAATCTCCCGAATGCTGAAGCGACTCTCAAGGAAGAAGTTCGTGATGACGTCCAGCTGGGCATGACAGCGTACTCTGGACCTTCGGTTAGGGCCGATTCCCAGGTTTTGACGTCTGAATCCCCTTACGGATCGACTCCAGGGCAGCATCGCGTGATGGAAAGACCGGAGCACCCAATGGAGAGGGCAGAGCTGCAGCTGGAAAGAACGGAGGCAGTACTGGATCAAATGGAGCTGCCACGGCCAAGAGAAGAAGAAGAAGAGGAGGAGAGTGGCGGAGATCCTGGTCCACCTAAGGACTCATCAATCCCAATCAATCACACAACCGGTGCTGCGAGACTTCTTCTTCTTGGACCCATCGCTGAGATGTGCCAAGATGCCATGAAGTCCACAAAGATTATGAATGAGAAATACCCGATCCAGCAAGAGACTAGACGGGGTATGCTCAGGCTATTCGGGAGGGGAGAAGGTGGGGATTTCCCTCCCGGGTATGACAAGGATCCATCGACAGATCACCCAGAGGGCACGCCTGGCGATGTGGAGTCAAATGCTTCAACACCGCCAGCAGGTGAGGAATGGGGCCAGTTAGGTGGACTCACCCCTCCCGCTTCGACTCCCGAGATTACAAGAGGAGGAATCAGTCCAGAAGGGATGCCCGATCTAAGTAGAGGGACGGTCTGGGAGCTAGTCAAGTCTTATCTGGACAACATCAACATCATGCACCCAATACTGATTCCTAACCATCTGCACAAGATGGTCGAGACCTTTCTGAATAACATTCCTGAAAACAAACAAGCAAGGCCAAAACAAGTGGTAACGCTGGCAGGTCACGCTCCTCCAGTTGGATTTTTAGGAGGAGGGTATAGGAACCCGGAGAGTCCTGGGCAGAAACGGAAACGCTCACCTGTTCCTGGAGAATATCCAGAACTGCCCCAGCACCTGTTGGAACTCACGGAATTCAAGCCATTTCACCCATTCCGAACTATCAATACAGCAATTGTGCTATTGGTTATGGCGCTGGGCCAGATCTCCTTATGGAAAGGCCGGCTACCGGAGATTGTTCCGGAGAAGGACAAGGACAGAGACAACCCGGGAAGTTCATGGAACAGCTCACCCACGATGCGAAATGGGTACCCACAATCTCCAATACAAACCCCCTCCATGGGAATGCCATCGCCTCAAGACATGGATCGAACACAACCCCGCTCTCGAAGAACGTCGATCGAAGGGGGGACCAATCTACCTCCAAGAGCGAAAGCTAAAAACCTGGACATGATGCCAGGCCTTGCTTATTTTGCCTTTGCCACCGATATTCTGGGCAACCAGCTTGGAGGCAACAGTCTTCAACACGTTCACGCTTACATTCTAGCCGGGCTCTACCATGCACAACTTGCGCGAATCATGGAGAGTTCCGCATACATTGCCAATGCATCCCGTATCCTTCAAGTGATCCTGAGACCGTGAGCACCTCTCTACACGATAAATCACATAGTCTGACGAATATTGTAGTAAGCTTGATCGCTTTAGAAAGCTCCAGGCCAAGACAGAGATCCCTTTAGCAAAGGATAATCCGCTGATTTTCGCATTCTGGACTTGTCTGCAGCTTGAGAGGTACGGAGCTCCATCCCTTCGCCAAGACTTGGCTGACAAACTGATAGTGACATCGTTGCGGAATTGCCTTGTCCTCACTCCGGCATTCTCACATATGAAGAAGATATGCCAGCCCCAAATCTGCAAGCAGCATGTGAGGATGACGGATTCGATCAGAGAATCATCGAGAGCTACAGCGCACAGTTATTCTTGCGAAAGCATCTCAATCAATTGCATAACATGTTCTACAAACCTGATGGTAAGGAATCACTGATTTTGGGTTTGCAGGAGTTAATTGTCAAATAGATTCATTATTCCCTGCATTGACAAATAAACAGCCAAAGCACTTTCCAACAATCGAGGCATCACAGGCAAGTCTCAACATCATCGATAAGGTTGCTCCAAACATGGTGTGGGATATACAGAGTGGCGAGCTGGCAAGCGATATTCTAGGAGCTCGTTTACGGGCGAAGTATTATGGCGCCCAAGTCATTACCTACCGCCCTTTTGTGCTCAACATCCTCGAAATGTCATCCGCACCATCTACCAGCACAGAGCAAGTCTCGAATGAATTTATCGACGGTGTCCAAGCTCCCAGGGTTAGCAGGAACACAACGAGATTAGAAGATGTCCCCGAAAAGGTCCGTGAATACGCTCGGTATGGACTCCAAGCCACGATACATAGTACTCGGGCTTTCTACGGCCTTGGGGATCCTGGAACGCACAGATTGATTGTCACCAATATTTGGGGGACTGCCCATGCGTATGTTGACCTTGATATCTTTCTATCTATATTCTAACGATCCGCAGGCAATGGGGAAACCTTCTTGTGCTTCAAGCAGCATGGAAGAATCGTATTCTTCGCCCTATTCTTGATGAACTCATCCCCACAGAAGACTTGATCTACCTGCTGGAGAAGACTTTAGCACTTTTGAAATTAGTCGCGACGCCGACCTCGGCACTTGCTCTCGATTATATCATCTTGAAGAGGGCTGGAATGAACAATGGTCTCCTTCCCAGCCCTCAAGGACCCAACACTTCCTCAAGCTTCTCGAGCGCCACGACAGCCGATGCCCCGATGGGTGGGCATTGATCGCAAGCCATCCGGAACGATGGTGTGATGGAATCGGAATCTCTTATTAATTTGTGTCTAACAGCGAACGTACATATATTGCATTGGGGCTGGCGAGCCGGACGGACTGGGGGGGTAGGCTGGCGGCTTTTTCTCCTATGCATTTTTAGCGTGGCGTCATCCTATGATCCATCATTTTTCATACAATTCCTCTTCGATCACTTGTATGATCATGAACGATTTAATTGGCATACATCGTCACATATACACCACAACCGAGCGAGCACACATTCACATGTGGGAGCAATCTACAGTACATGTTTTTTCCCTAGCTTTCTGGGAGGGGGACGGGGTTGGGGCGGCCATCTGAATTTTTTTTGTTTGCTATATATCCCATTTCGCGATACCTTTTTTTCTTGGGATGTCCCCCTTGCCTGGCGTTGTACTTTTTGCGAACATGGATACTTTTCTGGTATCTTTTCCTGGGAGGGTAATCATCATATACGTTTTTCAGGCGACTGAGATTGAATGGGGGGGAACAAAGGGCCGCGGAGCAATCCTACTTTCGGGCACCCCCCAGTTTTCAACCTTTTTTGTACATATATACAAGTACAGCAGCGTCTGGTGGTCTTTAGACTGCAAATACTAGATTGTTCCGAGAACTGTTTTTTCTTTTTTTTCTGGTTCAAGGGGGTCAGTTGGAGTGCCATGTTGTGTGACATGTTTATGTAGTGTTCCGAAGGTGGGGAAGCAAACATCCGTTGCAGAGCCAGGGTGAGGGAGTCGGTGGTACAGCAGCTGCGGCTTTCGTTGGCAGTTTGCGGCCCTCCCGATCAACAGGAACTTGGTGGTGCCTCGTGATCGAGTGCGGCTCTGGGGCTTGTGATAGGTGTAGTGTGACCGGTTCTTGGAAGCCCTCTGTTGCATTCGTTGGGCGCGTGGAGGCTTCCTCCGGAACACTGGTCTCCAAACACGTTTTTGTGGCTTTGTTACACAAGGCTACGGGTTTGCCGGAGAGAAGGGAAGGGTGGCGTCACGGGTGAACGAGGAAGGAGGTGGCGGCGCTTGCTGCAGAATGGGATTTGTCATACTTTGGGCCCTTTCGCAACCCAATTTCAGGTAGACAACCAGAGGTGACACTGCATACGGGGGATATGCGGGAATGCTTCAACGTTTTTAGTAGCGATCTCAGTCACACCTCTGGTTGATGTGAATCGGAACTGATATTGTCGTTGATGTTGTTGCACAAACCAGGCGCGGAGTCTGTGAACCACTCCCTTTTCCGATGTGCTGCTGCCCGAATCAGGTTCAAAGTTATTCGGAAGTCGTTGTGAACAAAAAAGTGAAATTCTGTAATCAATGGTCAATGATCAATCATCTCAAATAAAAGGTAAGCAAGTCAACCGGGACAAGCAGGCAGGAGAAGATGCTGGCTATCACGTGAATCTTCTTGGCACTCCAAAATGGCCTAGCTCATCGGCAAAACTTCAACCTCACCTGCTTCTGAGCAAGTCAGATCATCAAGTTCACTCATCATTTTCTGCATCATCACTTCACCATTTTACGGAATTGTCAAAATTGTTTATTCAAAGATCGTCTAAACTACGAAATGCCTACATTTAGCCTCAACGCTGACAACCGTCAGGCTGTTTAATGCCGTCTTCAGACTGGCTCGATCTTTTAAGACCGAATAGGGACTTGGTCCCATCAGTGTATTCTCCAATCGCAAGTCAAGATTTTCCCTCGCATGTTTAGATCGATCTTAATATCGACTAAGGACTTGGTCCTATCAGTGTGTTCTCCAGTATCGCGCGTCAAAATGTTCTCAAATTGATTCCGTCTCCCGTTTCTGAGAAATGGAGCAATCAAAATCAACATATCAATCCCGCCCCTTCTTAGTTGCAGTGTGGCTGGTCCGCGCGAAAGCCCACTGCCATTACTGGAGCCGACCCTTTTACATCTATAAACCTTCGTCCCACGGCAGCCATTCCTGTTCTCCGTAATTTTTCATACACTTTACCCGCTTTGGGGGCATTGCTTCCCACTCAATCAATTGCTCGCTTTCTTCCTTTTGTACCCAATCAAAAACGTATCCTTTCAGTTCTTTGATCTGTTTCCCGGCCTCGTCGGAGTATTCTAGATTGACCGACGGCACTACGGCAATCCTTCCCATACCATGATACCACATGTCCTTGCAGAAAAGGGACGGCTCTCCTTGATGGCATTCATCTTCATGTGACTGGCGGAAGCTGATCTTCTCCAGGACGTTTGCCGTAAATACGGCAGTGCCGTTCCAGCATGCGAAAACTTGGAAGGGTCGATGAGTGTTAAAGCGTTCGTGTGCACGTGGATCGTCCCAGAACAGATTCCAGGCTGAATTCCAATTCCCATCGGAAGGGATCTCGAAGAAAGAATCTCCGTTCATGCTCCGCGCAATCCAGACATCGTAGAAGGTAAAATCTTTCCATAGATTGACCCAATCCATTCCGCAAGTCATGTCGGCTGTCTGAACAAGACGCTGATGTATTAGTTCTAGAATGTCCTCCATGCAGATCGACACGTCGTTCAAGAACACAACTGAAGTGTGGGCGAGATTTGAATCGCGTGGTAACGGTTGGAGTGCTAGGTTATGAAGTTGTGCCAATTTACTAATGCGATCGCCGGCCAGCGAGTCGATGTCACTTGAGACGAAGTGATACTTCCCGCCCATCTTCCCAATATGTCTTCCCAGTAATGTCAACGTCTCGAGCGTGCCATCGTTCGAGTGGCCTTCTACAACTGAGAGGGAACATCTTGCAGGGCCGAGAAAGCACATAGCTTCCACGATCGAACCCATGAGCCTGGGTAGAAGATCTGCCCGCTGACGAATGTCCAAGGCGAAGAAATACTTTGTCGAGTTCGTGGCCTTGGTATCAAGATATCCATATCGGGTGTGGTTCAACCTCGGACATTGTAAAAGGGGCAAAATGCCGTCGTTTTGGGGCTTCAGGATTGCTTGAACATAGGTCTGCGCTCGCTGCAAAGATGTTGCATTCTGGCTAGCTTAGGAGGAATTAGCAAGAGACTTCACGTCACCGTAATAGGAGCTTGGGGGGAGACGAACAGGATACTCGTACAAACCGTGCGCGATAAGGAGAGACGCGGTAAAAATGATGCAAAGACAAGACCACAAGGGTGAGAACAGCGACTTGCACGAACCTGTGGGTGTGTAACCGTACCGTGATTTATACATAAGAAATGAGGAGTTGATGCACGAAATTGAGCACGCTGGCTCGAACGCGGTTGGCGCTATTTGAATGAAGAGGAAAAGAGATGGGAGAAGACGACCGCGAGGCACAAATCGCGGGGTTGCAACGGTTGCTGCCGCTGTAACATCCAGGGGTTAGGCGCTCGGAGAATGAATGATTAAATTTATCTATTCGTCTGAATCCTTTGGCAGAACAAATTCCCTCGGAGCGATCGGTGATAGGCCGGCCCCGTGTTCTCTGACAATCCCGACAGCTTGGATCCGAGCAGCGTGCCGATGTTGGGTTTCAGAAACATTTAGACCGTTCGACCGCCAACATAGATGCAGACTCTACTCGTCCTTTTCAGTGGTCTGAAATTCTTTGGTAAGATACATAGGTATTTTCAAGGATCTGAGCCAACGAGAGGAGCTCGATTGAGCGTACATACTCCTAAAAGCTTACGCCGCAGGAGGATTTTTCTATAAAAAAAAAATCAGAGCGGGTAAGACATTTATTTCTGAATTGGACAATATATTAATATGAGAATATTGCTAAGAGTTTCAGACCACTGATAAAGACGAGTATGCTATTCTGCGAGCACAAAACGCCAACAATTATGCCAACTCATGTTTCGTGATGTTGAGGCCAGGCGGTTTGGCGGCTAGCGGGAGCCTCTCTGCGTGGCGCCGCGAACCCTAAAAGGGTCAGATCAACAGTGTTGGTGTTTTGGGCAGTGGTCTATTTGTAGCCAAAAAGTGGCGAATCACGTGATATTGTCGAAGTCAACATACCAAAATTCACTGACACTTTGGACCTCCGGGATTTCTTTTCTCACTTCCTCACGACTTTGCAATTTTTTTGCTGGTCGCCGAATTTTTGATATTATGATAACTTTTGACAAATTTTCAGTGAAAAGGGGCTTAGCGAGGACATTAGGAGCGTTGAATTTCGCGTGTCTTTCGGCCATCGTGCGAGTATGAGATGGAACATTGGGAACCTAAGTTAGAGGAGGTCTGGCAGGCTAATTTGGCTATGAAGTATCACATGAACTATAGACTGGTCCTATTGGACAATCTCATGATCACAACTAAGCACGCCCGAGCCTCAGCTTTGTGCTCAAGCACAGATGACTCCAACTACATGTCTCTAGCCCCTCGCTCAAGCCGCCAGGGAAATTCACATTCCGCACCCCATCTCAGGAATCACAAGCTGAGAGTTGCATCCATCGGCGATCGTGGCTTGGAAAAAGCTCTGTGGGTATATTTTGCTATAGAAGAGATTATGAGTTTTCACTTAAAAGATAGCCCAAATCTCCAACGATCTAGTGATAGAAGTCCAATTCTCGGTCGCTATCAGACACGAAGGTCAAGCCGAACTCCAATTACATCGGATCTGTCGAATCTGATCTAAGATAAATACAACTCGATGCGAGCCATCACTCATATGCGAAATCAAGGGTCTATGCTCAGCCGGTGCCTTTGCTCGGTCGTCAGTTTGATATGTTCTGCTCAACTAACAAGAGTACCACAGCTTCATGCCCACACTCTGTTGCCAATGATAATGCAGTCCTTCCAACCTTGTCTTTGGTCTCGATCTCGGCCTGCTCTTTGAGGAGCAGTCGCACCACCTTCTCGCGCCCGCAAGCAGCCGCACTGTGCAGCGCCGTCCATCCATAGTCGTTCTTTACACTAGGATCAACTCCTTTCTCGAGCAATAGCTGAACAACGTCCTCGTGTCCGCATGCAGCTGCACTATGGAGCGCTGTACCCCCATCGTTTTCCTTCGCCGTAATATCGACTCCGTTTTCTAGCAACAGTCGCACCACTGCAACATGCCCGTAACCGGCCGCGCCATGCAGTGCCGTCCAGCCAGAATCAGTCTTTATATCGGCGATCGCCCCACTGTCTAACAGGACCTGGACAACCGCCTCATGGCCGGCTTCGGCTGCCATATGCAGTGCGGTACATTTGGTTTCTGTTTGTGTGTCGATATCAAAGCCCATATCGAGCAGCAACTTAACCACAGTCTCATGTCCACCCTCTGCTGCTCTGTGGAGTACATTTAATCCGGGTTCCTACGCTCCCTTAAGCTTGGCTCCCTTTTTAAGAAGTAGCTCTACAGCGCCAAAATGGCTATTTTTTGCTGCTAGTAATAGCGCCGTTGAGCCGTCAGACGTTCGTGTTTCTAGGCTCCGTTCACTCTGTTTCGTGAGCAAGAACTCCAGTACAGTATCTCGCCCATAACCAGCAGCCCTGTGAATAGCGTTGTAGCCTTGGTTATCTTTTATCATAGGATCGGCTCCTTGCTCAAGAAGGAGGTCTACAGTAAGAGGATGACCATGTCCAACTGCTAAGAGCAGTGCTGTTACGTCATTAGACGATCGAGCCTCTAGCTCCCAATCGAATTGCTTTGTGAATAAGAGCCGCAAGACATTGTCTTGTCCAAAACAGGCAGCTAGATGAATAGCGTTCCAGCCTTGGTTATCTTTTGCTGTGGGATCGGCTCCTTGCTCAAGAAGCAAGTTTATCGTAGTAAGATAACCGTGTCTAATAGCTAAGAGCAGTGCTGATTTCCCATCAGACGCGCGAGCCTCCAGGTCCCATTTTGGTTCCGTTTCGAGAAGAATGTCCAAAAAGCTGTCTCTTCCATTACTTGCAGCGAAGTGCACTAAATTCCAGCAACATGAAACCTTCCCTGACTTGTATACACTTGACAGATTTTTGCTAGCTGAGATCAATGCTTTGAAAGTGGTGATACTACAGCAGTGTGCGAAAAAATTAATCAGATTAATTAATTAATTCATGAATATTCATGAATAGCGTGAATAGAATTTGATTAACGTGATACTTATGTAATTTGATTAGATTAGAATAATTAATCATGATTATTCATGAATACCTTGATTAATATACACGTGACTACAGCACGTGATAGTCTAGCCTAATTAAGTAAGGTTCTTGCTCTAGCACTGCCTTAGCGAGCTTTTCTCTCTAGAAGCAAGGTAGCACTAGAGCCTGATCCTTGCCTAATTAGGCTAGCTTATCACGTGCTACGGTCACGTGTACATTAATCAAGGTATTCATGAATAATCATGATTAGCTTAATTAATTCGTGAATATAATATGATTAATGAGAAAACTTCATGAATAGATTAGATTAATAGCCATTAATCTAATCTAATCTATTCATTTCTCACACTGTACTACAGCCATGTATGCATGCTAATTCTAGCGGTGTGTGCCCCAATTCGACCGAGTCCCTTTGATCCACATTCTGGCCACGGTTCAAGAGTAGGTTGACTAGCGATTCGCTCCGAGTCCGGATAGCAATGCTCAATGGTCGCAATCCATTTCTGCATACCAGAAACTGGTGGGCAGGAATACGACTGACTACGAACTCGGTTATGCTGGTGGCGGAGAGAAGGTGATGGAATTTGATTTGATTCTTGACCCATTTATTAGAGAGAATATCGAGGATCGTATTTCCTGCTTGGTTCTTTAAGCAGATATCTGCACCACTATCGATAAGAGTTTGAATAGCTTCTATCACGAAACTATCGAGATCCATTTCGCAGAGACAGTGTAATGCAGTGCTGCCCTGGATGGTTACTGAATCAGCCTCTGCTCCACCCAGCAGAAGAGCATTCATGGCATCAACGACTTGTCGCTTCATGTCTGTTTTCCATGTGTCCAGTCTGCTTGCCAGGGAAATCAAAGGGGTTTGGCCATCGCTGTCAGGACATTCAAGGTTTATTTTGCCGCAGCTACTTAAAATTTTGATCATACCGACGCTGTTATAATCGAATTTTGTGTGCAGGGTGACAAGCTGTACTGTTGTTTCGCGCCAATCCTCACCTTCCTCTGCGAGTGCGCCAAGCCAATGTGCACGTGACCCCTCGCCGCTCTACTCACCCTCGCTTCACCTCAACCTCACCCATCCTCACCGGCTTCCATTGTGCGCTCTCTACCGCCTCACCTCTGCTCATCCCCGGTTACACGGCTATCGAGAGCGTCAGCTCCTAGCGAGAAGGATTCAGGGGAGCCAGAACGGGCTCTACGGGGACCGTAATAGGCCCCTAATATCAGGATGGGCTCCCGAGCTCACTATCTAGTATTGAATAATAATATTATTGTAGATGTGGAGTTGGAATTCTGTCTTGTAATATACTTCTAATTCTACTCCTCTGCCACGATTTTTTATCTTACTTTCTCTTCCCTCGCCGGCGCTTATTGTCCTAGTCCTTCCTGAGACTAGGTCAGGAAGCACTACACGTGTCGGCCCCCTGTATATATATATGAGACTTAGTGTCTCTCTCTCTCTCTCTCTTCTCTTCTTCTCTCCTTAGCTTTAGATCCTTCGTTTAAAGGCAATATCTAGGAGATCCGGACATCACGTCACACCTGACTTATCCGTGCCTATGTCTCTTACTCTCAGTTGTAGTACTACAACCGTGAGTGCTCGGGCTTGAAGTAGAAACAAACGGTGTACGTAATCCTGTAGTACTCTTAAGGCATAGTCTTGCTAGCTGGCGTACTCTCGGTTGTAAAGGTGTGATTCTGGATCACGTGCGCAGCTTCACGTGGCCTAGTTACAGCCGATGACGGCATGTAAGTGCTGATAAACGACCAAGAACCAGTTCTTGGTTACGTGACCTTTTGTCGGGATTTATGGCGTAGGGGAGATTATCAGCTCCTGAAACGACACTTTTGAAACTCGCGTGTCGGGACATTTTCTCCGCAAATCCGCAATCTGTAGCCACCTTCAGTCAAGAATCACCCCAACAATTGCTCTATGCTCCTCGATGAGCCTCGCAAAGGGTTTAGCAGAGTCGGAGCACGCTAGCTATGTGCTGAAGGAGGAAAGTCGCGCATTTGGTGTGCGATTGAGCGAAGCAGATTGGAGTGACTGGGTGCCGCAGAACGAATAGCTTCCCGATTCGCAGGACTCGCCCTAGGGCTCTAGGAAGAGATATGGAACCTATGACAGCCACATCCTCGAGTGTTAGTGTTACACATGGAAAGGACGCCGAAGGGTCCATTTCCTCGCGGAAGACCTCCGACGAATGCAGCCGCCCTCACCAGCTGTCGATCGTCCTGGGAGGTTATATTCAGAAGGTATGAACCGATATTTGGGATCGCGGATATATATGTTGATCTCCTTGGTGGATATATACTGTTCCTAGGACCCTGTAGCTTTGGTTATGGCTAACTAGGTTGGGTGTTCGGTTCTGCAGCGAGCCGCAGCTGTAGCTACAATCAGATCTCATCACTGCTTGCCACAGAGCTCGAATATTTAAATTATATTTGTTCTGTATTTCATGAATTCAGCAGGGCTGGGTCTAGCAGTCATCCTGGGAAACGCTGGCGGAATTTGCTACGGCATACTTTAGCTTTTGGTAGCATGATAAGGGTTACATAATTTATTCTCGGAATAATAGTGTGCACTTATTTCAACCTGCCTGTTCTTGCGCGTGTATTCTGCGTTACCATTGCAGCTCCTTTTTCTTTGCGTTCTCTTGTAAGATCTTTACAATTTCGCCCTCCCCTGTGACGTTATGTGGGTTCCTGCTAAGTCATGGTCTACTCCGACTCTTTTTGTTCGCCCCATAGTTTTCATTCAACCCTCGCCGATGTTCTGAACCTTCCACATTGCAGAATCATTCAACTCAACATCTGCAGGTAAGTCGAGTATATCCTTGTCCCTGAAATATTTCTGGAAGTCTAGACTCCGGCCTCGAGAGGTAACAAGCAATTTGAAGAGGACCTGGGTGTGTTTGGTCACTAAACGAGTTAACCGTCGCATAATTGCATCTATCTCAGCCGCTAGATACGAGGTCTCGTACAAGACAATCTCGTCTAGGACACAAACAAGAACAGTGCGGGCCGGCAGCTGCATGGTAAACTCTCGAAAGGCGATACAGAGAGTATCCAGGTCGAGGTTCTCCACCTTCTTCCGATCACTCTTTGTCAAGAATGAAACATCCACCTCGAATTCCCTAGCCACCATCTGAGTAAGCAGCCCGCCGATGAGATATGCCATCATCCTAGCAGTTGGCGTTCCTTGAGAGGAAATTTCGATATCTCTGTGGAGGCTAGAGAAGTAGCTGATCACAAGCGCTTGTCCGTTCCGCTCGAAGACTTTTACTAACTGTGCATCCACGAAGCTCAGGGGAGATTGGCCCTCTGTCGCTTCAATGTCACATCGTCCATTTACTAGTAGAGAGCTTGAGAACTCGTCTCCTGCGAGCCAGATTCTCAGTTTGTCGCTGTCGACCATCGCGGACGCTCGCGCCTTTCCTCGGTCGTCCAATTTGTCTCCAATTTCCAGGCATGTCTTGAGAGATCTTGAAGCAAATACAGGGTCATAATGCAAAAGCTCTAGTAAATTTTCAGCTACTGCAGTGTCTGAAAAAAATTAGCTCAATAAAACATTCCTCACATAGGATATTCACTGTATGTTGCTGGTTCGAGCAAATGTTTAGTTGTCCCTACAATAGTGCTGTTCGGGGCTGCTTCGTCTGTGAGTTCTGTGACTACAATTTCCGTCAGCCGTGACATCAACTGGCTCCGCAGAATTGACTCGCCATGTCCTTTATTGTTGAATAGAGTACTACTTTGCAAAAGCCGGTAGAGCTTCTGAGCAAGCCTCTCTCCAATTTCTTCAGGAAGAGTGTCCACCTTCTCTAAAAGTTCGATCACATTCTTATCTATGTTCGCGCTTCGAGCTGCCAGGCATTGTTGCGCCGCCACTTTAATCCTCGAAGTATGCTTCCTAACATCTTCGAGGCTCTTGGTAAGGCCACTTTTGTAATTCTTTTGCTTTGCAATTGGCTCAAAAAACTTTTCTATGCCACTAATTAGTTGAGTGCCTGACTTGATTATGGGGAGATGACCTACTTGCAGCACTATCAGCAAAGAACTGCACTATGTGGTTGAGCGACTTCAGAATGGCAAGATAGAGATCAAATGTCTTGCGCTCCAACGATTGGTTTGGATAATCTTGATAGATTAGTATGTAATTTCGAGCGTCTTCCATGATTTCTGGGAGCTCTGCAAGCGCGTCAAATATGCTCTCCTCCACTTCAACGTATCTACCTGCCGCCTATATATGGAGTCAGCCAGTTCGCTAAAATGTTTGTAAAATATAGACAGGAAAATATAGGTTGTTTGACTAACCCCAACAGCAAGCTTGAAGACCCCGCATATACTAGATGATATCTATCAGTATGTCTTGGGTTAAACATGAAGAATGAAGCTACCTCGCTCCGTAGTCTCCTGCGGGAAGAATTCCGAGCCACGCTTGAAATGCTCCTGAGTCTTGCCCCAATCTTTCAAGACACTTCCGACCCTTGGACATACTTCCAGGCAAACCTTTCCAGCTTTGATTAGTGGCATGTACCTCGTACATGACCTCTCCCCAGTTGCAGGTTTTGAGATCAACTGGCTTGTACTCTCCTTTACTTTTCTTACTGAGTTTGAGTTGTACTTGCTGCATAAGCGCAAAAAGCTTGTTCTTCTCCGCCTCCGCTTCTTTCCACAGCTCTGCGCTGTTTGGTGTATTAGATTCCCTCAGATGCCATATAGGAGAGGAATCGTGCCTTATCTGCTGCAACCTTCTTCCTTCCTCTACAGATACAAACCGATCCAGCTGCTCCGCATAGACAGGAGGCTGCGGTTGTGCTAGCACTACATTGTTTTCAACAAACATTGCAGCCTCGTTTGCGACTCGTTGAGAACGTGCAAGTCTGAACTCTTCCTGAAGATTGTTTTCCATTGCCAGCCTTTGCGACGCCGTAGATACTATGTGTCATCAAACATTGATCTAGGAACCGCAGTTGGTTTGAAAAGAAGCCTGCGTCGTTGCGCCCGGACAATTTTTCAAAGTCGTACAAGTACTCGGTGTTCAAGCAACGTGGGGGCGGTTGAAATGCTTGGCTAACCCGCGACTTTGGGACAATTTGGGAGGCTCCACAAGACGAGGCTCGTCCAAGGGCTGGAAATTGCATCCAGTAGAAGCTTGCCACGAAGGCACAATGATCCAACCCCCAAATTCGTAAGCGCATTAGCGAGATATGCACGGAGACGAGATGGGTGGCGCCTCGAACCACCCCCGACGTTGACTCGTCAGCAAATGCAACATCCATCACACAAATGTTACTCTGCGCGCTCCTGCCGCACATTTATACCGCACATTTATAAATATTCGCGACAAGTGTGTTCGTCCTATTATTCAATTTCCCCCGTGCCTCATGCAGTGTTGATCCTCAGTGCTGTTCAGCTTCATTTATAAAAGTGATAAGCCGGGGCTTTTGGACTTCCCCAATTTGGCAAGCTTTAGAAATCCTAACATATTTTCGCAGAGCAAAGATTCCGCAAATTAGAGCTATGTCAGCTCCAAATGTCATGAGTGATGTGGGGAATCCACATTCCAATTCTACGATTTCTACCCGCCAGGCCGACGAGGTTGCACTGCCCACGGACGGGAGAGGGGAACAGAGCAATGACAATGACCAATCAGTTGACACCAATCCAATGATCCAGCTACCTTCGAAAGATAGCTCCAGGGATCCTCAAAATAGCATTCAAGCAACTGCGAATGATGAGGGCCAGCTCCACACTTCCGAAACGAGCGGTGAGATTGAGAAGGAAGTGACTTTCTACCAAAGCCTTGCCAACAAGGTCATGGACGATGATGAGAATTTACCCGTCGCCACTCACAAAGCTGGTACAGCTGTTTATCAATCTTTGGTCCCGGATTTGATGGAGGAAGAGAGGGACAGACTGGAAGTCAGAAGCAGGCAAGCCATCTTACATATAGCCTATACCGATCTTAGGGTCAAGAATCTAGAGAAGGAAGTTAAGAAGCTACGAAGAGATTTACAAGGCTTACCAGAAGATTTCGAGTTTGCGAAATCGGTGAGCAATCCTGTGTATCTCCATGAGCTGAAACGATCTTCCGCTCCTGAATTCCGATTGACCGAAGAATCGAGAACGATTCCGCCACATCTGCAGCCTGCGTTAGAAGTTCTTCTTGTCGATAGGGGTCCTGGTTCAAATGAAACTAAGACTGGAGATAACGCCAGTGGCCAACGATCACCAGAAGTTATAAGGATTCGGCCCAGGATTTTAGCCAGGCACCTTGGAAAGATTTCCGGTGAAGACACAGAGCCAAGAATAGCACTTCGCGCACACGACGGAAAAACCCAGCCTTCTGCGATTGTGTTTCGAAAGCCATTCAAAATCTTCTGTGCATTTGAAAAACAGATCAGAGCGAGTGTTGCAGAATTGGAAACTCAAATCGAGAAGAAAAGCAACGAAGTTACAGAATCCAAAGGCAAAGCGCAAGAAACACAGGACACCAAGCGCAAACGCAAGGAATATGATGACAGTGATCTTCTTATTGATTTGAAACTGCTAATAGAGTTCCTTGATGTTGACTTGAAACCAACGCTAGAGTTGAGAAGCAAGATCAAGGATGGTACAGCGACCACCATTGAACACGAAGACCTGTGGCATCTGTTCAATTTAGGAGACAATGTGATACAACAGTCCACCGTGCCTAAGGTCTATCGAGTGATCAATTTCACTGTGAGAACACACCCACATACCTGCTTCGCGGGTATTTCCAAAATTGAACTTTTATGCTGAGAACACTGTTTAGGGCGGCCGCGAGATTTTGATTTCCAAGACTGACATGGATCAAAAGCCTGTCCATGTTGATGGTTTTGCGATAGATTGCTACAACCTCGGTTTTGATGGATCATCGTTTGGACCTAAATTTACCTCATTTTCTATCCGGAAGTTCGTTTTCCTCCATCTCAGACCAGAAATATTGGCAGCTGAATTCTTGATTTCCGGAGCTAATCATAGAGCAGATTTCTTGGCACAAGACATATCACTTCTTTACCCGTTTTCCCCTTGAAATTCGATCCCTCACGAGAGGCTCTAGAAAAAGATCTCGTCGATCGAGGCACAAGATACCTCGAACTAACCAAACTTCCATACGCGCACAGATTGCTAGTAGGAACGACGTTGGATGAGCCTGCAGAAGAAGTACTACCTCCTATCAAAGTTCCAACTAGAAAAATAACACTCTTGCTTTATAGATTGATGCTCAGATAATCGTCGACACGACCTTTGCGATCAATAGAAATCCCAAATGGCACCAAGACTTAGACTTTGATGAATCCGATCTGACTGAGGGTGATATACGTGAAACACAAGTCCCGCCCTTTTGCACGCATGTAAAGTTCAATGAAGGATGTGGGTGTCTCTTTGGATTATAAATTCTGATCGAGTGGGGCCGTAAATTTGCTTACACTTTTAGGCTGCGGAAGTGACACCATTCAGAAAGATCTTGAAATGGACAAATCAAGAGTTGACGAATACATTCAGATGAATCGCCATGCTTTGAGGCTGTTTCCTGCGAGTGATCTTGCTGAGAAAGACAAAATATTGCTTCCTCATTGGGCATATGGATTTGTCCTCAGGAGCAGGCAGTGGGGTATGCGATAATAAGTTGGATTTCTTTATCATTCTCCTGAAGCTAATACGAATGGCAGTAACTGTGAACATCGGTGATCTCTCAGATGTCATGTATGAAAACAACTTCGATAGTCTAGTGCTGTAAATCAACCCCTCCCCCAAAGGTGGTTTCTACGTCTTCATTTAACTGACAATATATCAGACCTTCAGGACACAAGGAAACTGTCAAGGCATTGGTAAGAAATCATGTAAGAGATTCAACAAATTCGACCGCTACTTCGAACTTGGGGGCGTCCATGGATCTAGTCAGAGGCAAGGGTGAGTTTGTGGATTTTATTTCAGCTCAATGACTAATGTGAGGTTTAGGCAAGGGTTTGATCATCCTTCTCCACGGTGAACCAGGTCTGTTACCAACCAATCCAACACAGAATGAGAAGCTCAGCGAATTGACCGTGTTGCAGGCGTTGGAAAAACTTCGACCGCAGAATGCGTTGCGGATCTTACTCAACGCCCACTGTTCCCAGTGACTTGCGGAGACATTGGAGAAACAGCCGCGGAAGTTCAGAATACTCTTGATCATAATTTCCAACTAGCTCACAAGTGGGGTTGCGTCCTTCTTCTTGACGAAGCCGAGTGAGTGCAGATCCAAATTAGAATTTGCATAATTAGAGCTTAACTGACCTACCTATAGTGTGTTCATGGCCAAGAGGTAAGCAAGGGTCTTCAACGATCTGTACACGTTGTACGTGAAATTAATATTGACAATCAAATTCTTAGGAACAAGACAGACCTTAGGCGAAACGCGGTTGTCAGTGTGTTCCTCCGCACTCTTGAGTATTACAGTGTAAGTTGGCGAAATAGGTGGCCAAATGGTAGCTAACATTGTAGGGTATACTATTCTTAACTACTAACCGTGTTGGAAGCATCGATCCAGCCTTCAAATCCCGCATCCACATGAGCTTATTCTATCCGCACCTCGGTCTCGATGCAACCCTCCAGCTTTACCAGATCCTCCTCGACAGAACTCTTGCAGAACAGAAAGCGTCGAAGAATGTGGACTTCAAAGTCAAGTCGAAAGAGATAAAGAGCTTCGCTAAGTCGCATTTTAAGCGCCTGGAGAAGGAAGGGCTTGCCACATGGAACGGAAGGTAAGATATATACCTCTTCCCTGCCCAATCTAGAGGCTTCACAACCTACTAATTAAAACCAATTTGAAGGCAAATCCGGAATGCATTCCAAACTGCTATCACGCTCGCAGAGTACAGCTCTCGCCAGTCTGCGGCGGAGACCACAACGCTCGGCAAGGAACAGTTTCAAATTGTTGCAGAAGCTTCCAAGGAATTTGATATCTACATGAAAGAGACACTTGGAGCCACAGACGCGGACCTGGCTAGGCGAGAGGACATTCGGTACGATAGATTTGGTGTTCGTGGGTTAAGCAATACTCCTGCAGTGCGCTCCGAATGGAGTAAAGAAAGGCATCTTCGCCCTGTTGGACGAAATTCTAAAGATCCTGAGAGCGAAAGCGAAGTGTCATCTGATATGGATGATGAAGATGGTGATGACGATGACGAAGAAGAAATTTTGCCCCGTGTCGGAGATGCATCTTCCACAATGGCTAAAGGCAAGGCTGTTGCTGCCGGCTCCTCAAAAGGCGAAAGTGCCACTGGGTCGAATCAGTTGGATATGAAAGAGTTCGAAGAGTTTTTGAGGTTCCAGGAGATGAAAAAGAAGAGAGCAAAGTACTAGAAGTCTTAATCTTTTCCCTCCCTATTTGCCTTAGAGGTGGGCTAGATAGCTCGAAGAGTCGCCCCGAGCAGACATCGAAAAAAATATATCGTCCATCCGTCAAACGTTTGCAGTACATTTTGAAGCTCATCGACATGGAGTGTTTGTATTGGCACTCACAACATGGTTGTAATATCCTCCCTAGAATCATGGTAAACTTTTTCTTTGAAGATGATGGAGAGGGCGAGTCCAAACTGAACGAATATTGTGCTGAAAATGTCCGCTTACTACCCCGCACTCAACTGAAACACACTGTAGCTAGATCAGAAACCACGCTGATTTCGGGGAAACTTGATCTCTAACCTAGGCTGAACTTCTGGGGTATTCTCAGTAACTCGTAATTATTAATTTGCATAGGATGTGTCTTTCCGTTATCCTCATCGGATCCAGTGTTATTCAGCTCGTCGTTACTTTGAATATCGCATTCCGCCTCGTCATGACTTGTCGTTAGTGATGGATCGCGGTTGAAATGCAGCCGCTGTGACTCAGCCGGTCTTGAGCTTCTATCCGCATTGCCGGAGAGATAGGTATTGCCAGCTCTTTCGGCTGTCACTACCTCTGCCACCCCATTCACCTCCTGCTGCGGTCCCTTATCCTTATCATTATCTTTGTCCTCCTCTTGCTCCACCACCTGCTGCTCCATCGCCCCTTCATCAATGGGGAAAATGTCGAGTGCAGGGCCAAACAATCCGTGTTCGTCTACTAGGCCTCGACCGGTATAAAGGTGGCCCTCTGGAATGAGCTTGTTCTCTAGTGACGCGTTGCAATAGTGCGGAGGCGGGCTCGAAGAGGGGGTCGTGGCCTCGGATCTGGCGTGGCGCGATCCTTCTATACCAATGCTATAGTGCAATGGCTCGCTTGAGAGGGACGAAGAAGAGGTATGAGGATGTATGGAGTTTGACGTCGAAGCTCTATGTTCCGTAAGCGGCAAACGTAGAGCTGTCCGGGGGGGTTATTAATATCGTGCCACCCATCGGAGCTGGGAGGAGGGGCCGGAGTTGAGTCGACGGCTATCTCTAGGCTATCGAAAAGACCCGCGCCTAGTACTCCTACACTTTCGGCACGAAGAGTATTGTTATTAACTTCAGCTTCGGAGGTACTCGAGTCGTCATCTCTTTGTAGGACAATTGGATCATCTATCCCACGTCAGAAAAACCGGTCGCATTTCCACGACAAGAGGTAACAGGTACGCGCTTACCTAGACTCCTACCTAAGTTATCGCTTTGTGTTGACCTGCTCTGGTCGACAGCGCCGCCCTTCTCTTCTAAAGCTACCTCCTCAACTCCGAAGCGCGTCTTATCTAGGCCTCGATCCTCCGTTATGAAGCTTTGCTCCTGTAGCTTGGTAAATAGTAGTTCCTCGATTGTGGGGAGGTCGTGGTTGTTGCGGTCGTCGTCGTCGTCACCACCGCAAAAAGTGCCCGTCTCTGCTCAGGGATTCACAAGTCAGTTACTGTCGCTACAAGCCAAACACGTCTTCATCTTGGAGCATACCTCGAATTCCGGATTTATAGCCCCCATTACTATTAGCTGCTGCCACTACTGCTGCTACCATGCTGAGTGATGTACCGCTCGACCTGACATGCTGGAGCTTGTCAAGGATGCCAACTTGCTTTGGGGCAAGTTTGCGGCGGGTTGCTGCGGTCTGGGAGCGCTCAACAGTTGGCACATAAGTATATTGTAGTTTGAAGACAAAAGTGGCCATCTCGAGGTGGAAATGGTTAGGAGTGATTAAGAAACCCTCCGCTGGCTGCTAGCTGCACAGCTGGACTGCAAAAAAGATGACAGAGACGGGGAAATCAAAGTGTTCATATAGCTTTCTCGCACTGCCCTCGCAGAACCGGAATACGCGCTGTGACCCGCTATACACGCCTGCCATGCCATGCCAGGCGTATCACGACCCGTGGCTGGTGTTCTGGATGCAGAATCAGCTGTATTGGGTGTGTATGTAACGTCTAAAGAGAGAAGAGAAGAGGGGAGCGGGAAGCTCGAGCTTAGTACAGGGTGCCACGCTAGGGCCAGGTCATGTGACGCTGACGTCACAACAAGGCGCCACTCCTGCAAGTTCGTGCTCGATCAGGCTTGATACGTCAAAAACCCCCGTATTTCGAGGCAAAACATGCAACTTTAGGGGTTTGAATAGATTGTGGCAGCAGAACTCTGACGGTATGGCTGGTGTGGAATTTTGGGGTTGGGAGAACGCTCTGCAGCTCATTTCGCTAGATGTCACTAACTTCGGCCAGCAAGTACCTGAGAATCTACGCGATATTAAGAACGAAAACAAGGAGACGAATCAAGAACTTTCGGACTTACTTGCCGATAAGTTTGATGATGAGTTTCGCATTTTTCATCTTGGCCACCTTTGCCTTCCTGAAGTCGAAGAACTCGAATCAGATGAAGAGAGCGAGAACAGTCCTTGTGCCTCTGTAGGACTAATCGTACACTGTGTGACTGTTAATGGACGTTGCTTATGGCAAAGGATTGGCATGAGCATCTGGGTGGATATCCCTGGCACTGAAATCGAGGGAAATTCAGACCTGTGGTTTAATAACTCCTGCTTGCTAGGTTGAGGAATATGTTTTTGGCTTTTCTTCTCCCGTATGCAAAATTTAATCATTTACCAATATAACTGTCGGTTCACTAGTAACGCATGGCACCGTCACGTAGTCGTGGAATGCTATTTGCGTAAGGTTGGTGAAGTTGTTGTTCAGAAGTAGGGATTGCAGTATCGTAGTATTAATATGCGATCCCTAAATCTGCTAAGCCTAAAGGGGTCTAGTCACCCATAGAACGCGAGGTCACATGACCGTATCCCGTATCCCGTATCCCGTAACTATGCACGTAACTCCCAAAGGAACAGCTATACTAATACTAGAAACTCTCTAAAAACGCAAAAAACAGTACCTCCCTCCGATCGTATGCAAATTCCCTAATCCGGCCTAGTACCAGATTTCCCAAATGCTCTGTATATCTATATTACTTCTGAGGTTTTGGTTATATACTAAAGGCCGTAGCCTTTTATATATAACTTCTCTTTCTATAATATTCTCTTATCCTATATATTTATTTTCTATTCTATTTATACTTAATCTATTTCTTTATATCTAATTATATAGTATTTATATTAATTACGTATTTAAAGGCATTTATTAGCTTTGATTTTATTATAGAATTAATAGAATTTAATTTTCTTTTAATTTATTTGACTTTTATAATCTCTTATTATTTATATATCTAATAAAGATATATTATATTAATTATTAGATACTTTTCTCGAGTAGTTTCTAATTTAATAAGGCATTTATATAATAACTTCGAATTCGTATAAACTACTAGTAATAGTTCTATTTCTAGTACTTTATTAATTATAGATTTAACTAAAATACTTATATTAAAGCTATAAACTATATTATAGAGTTCTATAATAGCGGGATTAAAGTAATAGTATAAAGATTTAAAGATTCAGGAAAATCCCATATATTGAGAATACTAAGCTAAAAAGAAAAAAGAGAGAGAGAGAAGAAAAGAGAATAAAAGAAGAAAAATACTAGCTAAAAGAAGAAAAATACTAGCTAAAATTATTAAAATACTAGCTAGCTAAATAAAACTAGTTATATAATAGCTACCCCTATATAGCTTTTAGCTAATATTATTATAAGTTCTAAAATTAGAATACTTCTAGTAATTCTTTTATATTTAGTAAAGAATTAGTAAATAATATTAGTATATTTAGTTTTATTTATTAGAACTAGAATATATTCGATTTAGGAAAAGAAATTTCTATTATTTATAAATAAAGTATTTATAAAAATAATTAAATATAAGAACTTTTTTACTAGTTTTATAAATTTTAATTCTCTAATAATATTCTTAATTTACTATTAAATATATTTATTAAATACTTTTATATTAGTTTCTGAGAATTTAATAGCTTAAATAGTAATTAATAAATTATATAAAGCTTCTAGTTAATAGACTAATATAATATATATTTCTTTAGTATATTAGATAATATATTAGTTTTTAATAAATAATATTTTTATTATTTATAATAGTAATATTTTTTATAAAAATAATTCAATTTTTTTATATTAGTATTTTTATATAAAAGTAATTCTAGTAATATTTATATAAATAATATTTCTATTAAATTTAAGATTATAATTAAAAATAAAGCATTTATATTTTTTAGTTAAAAACTTAACTTTTTAGAGCTTGAGTTATTTTATTTTTATAAAATTATTAGTTTTAATAAATAGAATATTATTAGTTTAAAAACTAATAACTTTAAAAGATTACTTATTATAAAGAAAATAAGAATTATAAGTTAATAATTTTATAGAAAACTTATTAGTATAATAGAAATAATAAGTTTTAAATTAGTAGTTTCTAGTTTCTAATATATTATTATAAGTATAAGATCTAGGGCCTAAAAAGTATAGTTAAACTATTTCTATTTTAATAATTCAAAGCTAAAGAGAGAAAAAGATCTCGAAGAAGCCTCGAATCTAAATAATTACAAGCTATATATAGGCCTATATACTAGTTTAAGCTCGGGGTTATATATAATAATTAGATAACTATAGATATCTTACTCAAATACCAGATATTTCTTTTAGATACTAGATATCTCTCTAGCTCTAGTCTAATTCCTACTAGTATTATATATTATAATAACTATAATATTACTTCTTTCCTTAAAGTAAGCTTATTCCCGAGCTTTAAAAGTCCCTATTAAATTTTTAAGTTATAGGTTATATATTAAAAGCCAGGGCCTTTTATATATAACTTTAAAGAATTCTGTCTATATTATATAGTTCTAGTAATATATTATTCTTAATATAGTTTAACTAATAAAAGAGATTCTGGGGCAGTTCTAGCTATTCGGGATTCTTATTATAGAAGCTCTAAAGAATTAGGGTACTATTATTTAATAAGGAAGTAAGATACTATTCCGGATCTGGGTCTTATTCTTTTTACTAGATTTAGTATTTTAGCTTTTTATAAAGTAGTTTTACTATTTATATTTCTTGAATTTTATATTTCGTTTCTCTATTTTATAATTCTAATAATAGAGGCTCCAGATTTACTTATCCGGAAAGAGAATTATCTAAGTCTTTATATAGCTTCTTTATATAAAATACTAGATATATTCTTATTAATTCCGGAAGCTTGAACCTAAAGAAATATCTTATTTATTTCAGGATTTCATATAATTCTTTTATTTAGTAAGCTAGCTTATAGCTCAAATAATTATTCTTTTAGTATTTAGTAATAATTTATATCTTATTTCCTATTTTAAAGTCTATTAATTAGTAATACTTATTAGCTTAAATAATATAATATTCTTATATATATATTATATTTTTCTATATTTTTTATTATAATTTATAAAACTATATTATTAGGGCCTTTATTTCTTATTTATTTAGCTCTTTTTTCGGGATATCTAATTATACTTGGGTTTTCTAATTAAATAATATTTATAGTTTATAGCCTTTTTTTATAAGAAATAAGAATTAGCTTATAGTCTTATAAACTAGAGCTATTTACTAGTAATTAATTATTACTATTTATTTATTCTAATTATTCTAGTAATAATTTATATAAGAATATAGCTATTAATTAAAATACTAATTAATAATTTCTATTTAGCTATTAGTTTAAGAATAATTAGTAATTAATAACTTAAGCTTTATACTAATATATTTATAGAACTTGCTCTAGAAATCTAATATAAACTAGAAGCCTTAATTAGATATTATAATTTCCGAAATACTAATTTAGTAAACTATATAAGTAAGAAATAAAAGTACTAATTCTTTAGCTATTACTATATCTCAAATAGGAATTATAATAGGGTACTTGCCTAGATAATTAATAAAGATTATTATTATATTATACTTATTTTTATTCTCTAGGCATTTTTTAAAATCTACTAATATATATTATTAGGAATAGTTAGGAACTAGTAATAGATATAAGAGCCCTGGCTTCTTATTTCTAGAAATATAGAATTATTAGTAAATATAGTAATTATTTCTATACTAATTAATATTTATATCTTAGTCTAACTAGTAATAGCGGGCCTAAAGAAGTTATTAAAGCTTGGCTTATTCTAGATATTTTATTAGAAGCTATATATATACTTCCTAAATAAGAATAATATATAAGAATATCTCGGATATTATTATATTATTAGATATAAATAGTTTATTATATTATAAGAAAAAACTATTTTATAATATTTAAGTACTTTTTTTCTTATTTCTTGCCTTATTCTATAGCTTTTTTAGCTCTAATAACTCTTAATTTTTATTTAATAGCTTATTTACTAGCTAGATATTATTATACTGGGTTTCTTTCTAAGCTAGGCTTATAAAGGCCTTAATTAGGGCTAATTAGAGATCTCATATAATATTATTATTAATCTTTTATTATAAAAGGAGAATTTGGGTCTAATAGGCTATTATTATCTTATTCTAGATAATTATATTCTTATATTTCCTATTTAAGGCATTTGCTTATTTATTTAACTTGCCTATTTAATATATAAGCTTGAAATAGTAATAAGAAAAGTATTTTATCTAGTAAATTTGTTTTACTAAAAGCTTCTTTATAATTATAAAGTACTCGAGAGCTTAATAGTTTAAGTAAATTATAAAAAGTACCTCTTATAGGCCTTCTAGTTCTGCTTATTA